CCCTGTGCCATTGAGAGAGACATGCATGTAGCTGTTAATTGATTTTGGCTTTAGTGATGCTCTGCTGGATATTTTGATATTATTATAATAGGAGACAGCTCTCTCTGTTGCCATGCTATGTGGTGTCAAGGTGAGGAAGGAAGCAAGGAATTTTCTGAGCAAACCAATGCTGGCCTCTGTCATTTTTCTCAGCTTCAATGCATAGAGTGTGCCAGAATCTTCTATCTGGCTATAGACTTGAACTTTGCTTAGGTTTGTCCATGACATGCAGACATCAGAGACAAACTCTTCAACCTTGTCCTCTCCAAATAACTGGCTCACAAGATCTCTGCTGGCATTTATCATCTGCGCTGGTGAACTTGCATCCAATATCTTTTTTAAATTGTTGATTGTTTCATCTTGCTCAATGTTCATGCGCTGGTCTAGAAAGTTTATTGCTGATTGAACAATTTCCACTCTGATTGGACCATCTTCTCTGCGTAGTGATGTGACAAACCTATGAGCCTGGCTGGTTTTTCTGATATTTCTTTCTCCACTGCTTTCTTTACTTGAGTTTAAGTTCTTCAAGTATTTCTCTTCCTGCCCACCAGGCACTGGCATCTCCTTCATGACGTTCAGGTTGACAATAGCTGCATCCCTGGCTGTTAATACATCCAGTAGGATGAGGTCAGATTTTTGAACATTTTTCTGTAAGTTTTTGAAAATTTTGCACAGATCATGCATAACAGTGGTCAACCACACTTGCTGTGTGCCATTGCCCCATTTCATAAGAAATCCTTTTGCAGATGAGCTTTCTTTTCTGTCCAAATTTATGGTTCCATCTGTCATTTTTGTTCAAAGCCTTCTTGCTGCTTCCAGGTTATTCAAAATTGCTTTCAGCAAATTCAAAGTGTGCTCTGCAAACCTGACCTCAAAATGCTTTGGAAAAGTAAGAGCCTGATCATTTTCTTTGTGCAGCAACTTTGTGCGACGTGGGGATGAGTGGAAGAATGTCGAAAGAGCAAGAACATCAGCCATCCAGAGATGGAGTTCAGGGACCTCAGATTGAACAGATTCAAGGGCCAAATCTGAACGATGACAAACACACCACGCTGTCAAGATATCCCTGCCAATATGTTGTTTGAGCAATGTCCATAATCCTGCGTTTTTGCCTGTGTTTGCTTTTTCTCCATCAGTGGTGACTCCAACAAGCTTCTCTGTCTCCACACCAACACTTTTCAAGCACGAAATAAATGAATCAAGAAGTCCTTCAGCTCCTCCTAAATCACTGCTGGCGATGCCAAGAAAAACGGTCTTCACACTCACTTCATTCGTTGGGACTAACCTTGCTGTTATAAATTTAGAATCAACTTGCTGCTTGTCAGCACTTCCATCAATTTGAACAGAAAAGCACAGACAATCTTTTAATACATCAGCAGTTTTTTTCATCTCTTGCTTAGCAACTATGTCTCTCATTGCTGCATAGGTTACTGGATCCCTATAATGGTATACAGAGCTTGGTTGACTAAAAGGAACAAAATCTGTGTGCCATCCTTCTGTCTCAAAATTATGGAGTAAAGAATTGCTATGTTCAGTTGCCAAAGACCTTGATGGACAACTTCTTGCACTGAGTGTTTCCGTTCTACAATCATTGTAAACATCAACAGCCATTCGTAAAAGAAACTCTAATGTTTGTATTTTGCATTGTTTCATAACTTTGACCCAAGGATGACTGTCTGACGAGAGACTCTATGCTTCTTCAAGTTTCTTCAATCTTAATGCTTCATTGTGAGCAGAGGAAAGCAAATGATCAACAAGTAAACACAGTCTGTCTTTCCCATCAACCCGGACTCCACTGGCAACTGGTATTCGTCCATTAGTGGCATACCTTTTCACTTCAGGTCCATACTTGCTGAAAAGTAAGCAAGTGACAACGGGACGTCGTCGTTTTTTTGTTCTTTCTGTTCTTCCCTACTTAATTCCAGGCAAGATTCAGCTAAAAGCAGCCAATTCAAGTCTAATTTTTTGCCTTTGTACCAACGATCATCTGTGGAATCGATTTTTGACGAGGCACTGTCTGGTTTCGAAGTTTCGGGGTCAGCAAGGCCAAGGCCATGGCCTATGTCTGCATGAGTATCATCACTATCGACATCGTCAATGACATAATTTTCCTGAGTATTAAGAAAATATTCGTTGACGTTTTTATCATCTTTCATTGAATCGATGAAACAGTCAGAAGCTGTACTCACCTCAGCAACGGGTACTGCAGTTGATGAGTTTTGCTCGCTTGTTGATTCGCCATCAATAGGACTGGCAGTCTTAGGCCGACTGCTGGTGTTTGATTTGGTAAATCCAAACGAGGAGAGTAGCGATGTTTGGCCACTTGCAGTGGCAGCCTCTTTCAATTCATTCTTCTTTTTTTCCAAACGTTTCTCGTGACCACTCTTTGTTGCTTTTCTTTTCATTTCTAACATGGATTTCTAGCTGACAAACTTTTGATCTTTCTATTTCGATTTTAGAACACAGTCTAAAATGACCATGACAACACCAAACATAAACTAGCAACCATAGCAACATAGAGCCTCGACAGAAAACCCAGAAATAGGATAGATATGCAAAGGGCCTTTCCTTCTGTGCTCAACAAGTGGCACAATGTGAAAGACTAATTTTTTACTTTTTACATTTTGAAAAAAACATTTGTGAAAAGGGCCCAAACTAGTGGGCCGAAAGCCCTAAATTTTGCTTTTTTACTGGGCCGGAAGAGGGGCCCACTGGGCCAGTGGCCCAGTAGTTACAATGTTAAAAAATGCCCTGTCAACCGCATTAAAGTGCTTTAAAATTCGACCTTTGTTTTTACATCGAGTAGCGACGCGACAATGAATGGCAGGTCTTCTCGAGATTCGAGAAACGTCTGAATTCTTCTGTTTCATAAAACATTTTAGCAAACTGATTGAAATTAAATGACTTAAAAATAAGGCGTAACTAAGAATAGACCCGGAAACAATTTAACAACTGAACATAATTTCCGAGGGGGCGACTCAAAAATCAATATTTTCATGCGTTGCATTTAATGGTAGCTATGTCAAAACATATATCAAAAATTTTGTATTTTTGTAATGGTAGGGGCAAATTTCAACATCGAATGCTCTTTTAGGCATCATTGGGGGAGGTGATTTTACAGATCACCTGACTTATAATACCCTAACGATAGCAATTTTATCGCAAGGCATTGAAAAAATTTTTTGGATATGTAATTTTATTGCCATTACTTATTACGTCATTTTATTGCCAATTTTTCGCTCGCAGGTGATCCGCATTTCATTTTTTACCCCAGGGGCCTCTACAACCTCTCTCTGCTCTGTTTGCAAAATTTGAACAAAGCTGATAAAATATTAGCTAGTACTGAATAATCAAACAAACAATATATGACGAAATTTAAAGCTGCTTGCGAATTGCATATTTAATTTCAATTCCATAAATATTAGCCGAACTTTCCATCGGATTCTTCCAAACAAAAGTATTCCCCACTGAAGAAGACAAGATAAAATGCAGAAAATGAACTTTACAATTACAATCATGTTGTTATCATGAACGACGTGTCAAAAGTGTAATCGGTCGACCATTTGCATCATAAATTGCCCTAGATGAGATGTCGATCTTAATATTAAAAATCATAAATGGATTGTTCATCTTGCTATGTGGTTCTATGGCTAAGATAGATCACCTGAGAAAGCAACCACTGCTTGCTCGTCCTCCGCAAACACAAATATCAATGTCATTATGATTGGTATCTTCATAGATTGTCTAGAAGATTTCTATTTAGATTTTGAGAACCATGCTAATCAATATTATTGCAAGAATCTAGAGATATTCTGATAAAGCCATAGAAATCTCTATGGATAGAGCACAGCTACAAACACCTGACATTTAGTTGCAAGAATTGAATTCTAATTGGAAAGTCAAATGGCTCGATAAAGAATTTTCGGATGAAAAGGAAGATTCGTTGGCCGACCCAGCAAGAGATCTATCAGATGAATTGTTTTGTTTGATTTCTTGAAATCGTAATTGGCAAAATGAAAAAAAGCGAAGTTATTACTGATGTTCCGTGTAGAGGTTCCGGATACTTTTCCTTTCATGGTAAAGGGTGACAGCCTGTCAAGAAAAGTAGCCATACCCTATGGACAGAATTCTTTTAAACTGAATATAGCAGTTTTTCAGATCGCACCTATAGCCTTTTGAAGCCTAATGGTTCAACTACCAATCTTCAATGACATACCATTAAGAGAAACAAGTTTCCATATTTGGCAAAGGGTATTATAAGTCAGGTGACCTGCAAAATCACCCCCCCCCCCCCCCCAATGATGCCAAAACTTGTTTTGATGATTATCGATGTGTTGTCAACAAAATATTTCAAAAGTCATTCAAAACCTCCTCCGCAGAGGCACTAGACCAAAGAGACTAAGAAGAAAAGCCCCCAAGCTCCAAGAGGCACCAGCAGATTCCGGTTTTTATTCGGGAGATGAACCATGCCTGTCTTCTAGACATGCACTAACCCCCGTTTCAGGGTCATTGAACATGCGCATTATCGCTTGAAGCACTGGCGGGAAGTTGTCTGGTCCCAGAAAGAACAGCTGTGCGAATACTGTTATTAATGCGCATGTGCTATGACCCTGCAACACTGATTGGTTTATAACGGTATTGTTTCGAAACAACGAACTGAAGGTTTCGTCTCCCGAACAAGTTTACCATCGCAATTCTGAACACCCATGTCTATATCTAACTGAAAATGCCCATCACAATTTCTCCGGGCTTTTGTGGTACTTGCCTTAACCGTAGCCTGTTCTATTATAAATTTAAACGATTTTTGAACTAATACGATTCCCGGGCTTTCTTTAATGCGAAATGTACGCAGCGAAGGCGTCGATTAGAACGTACTTCCTGTTGCGGAACAATCACGTGCGGTGAAAACAAAGGTAACAAAACAATCTTTACAGGAAGCCAAAATGTTCTGAAACAATCGGGTGCAGTCGTGACAGTGGGCGAAAATTCATCTGATTGCCAACCAGTGTGAATAGGTTGCTACGACCGAAAGGACCACTCCTTGTTGTGCATACCAAGGTTTAGAAAGACAACGAGGGATGGCTGAGCAGCTTGGTCTTATCAACGGAATGGAGCTGCAACATACTGATGATGCTACGAAAACACTCTTTTTTGACGATGGAATTCGCAGGATCGATTATGTGTTGGCCTACGATGACGAGGAGGATGAAGAGGAACTGCAGAAGAACAGTGAAATGAGAAAAGTGTTCCTTGAAAATCTAGTACATCAAGGATTGCAGGTCGAAGAGGCCCTAAGCACAAAGGTAATCTGCTTTTTAGGCCTTTTTTTATTTATATTTGCTGTCCTAAAATGTTATCCAGTTTCAGGCGATGAACGGGAACAAAATGGGCGTTTCCTTTGAGACCTCGCAAATTCTTGGGGTACCCTGTTGCTGGAATTGTTTCCAAAATATCCAGGCAGCCGAAAAAAGGTTTATGAAGCTCGATTTAAACGATTTGCTTATCGTTTGTTAAATTGAGGTTCGCCGCTCTACAAAGAAAGAACCACAAAAAGAGTGTCTCGTGATATGAACAAGAAACACCTTCGTAGTTTTCTGGTGTTTGTCACTCACATCAAGCAAATATAAATTTAATTCGAAAAAGAGATTGTTTTGGCAGGTTTTATCGCAATCTCTAAGCTTGGTTTTCAGAAAGATTGACTGATGTCAACTGAGTCGATTTGTTTTTCTCGATTTTCAGGGCAATTCAATCGATGGAATGGCCACACCCCTTTTAAGAAACAGTGATATTCTCCTTAATTAAATTCCCTACCGAGAATTTTTTCTTTGTATGTTTGATTTCCAAACAGTGCAGGGCGGATAGAAACATAAAAGATCTGGAGTGGGGGAAGGGGGAGGGAGTGTGTTGGTGCTTGGGGGGTAATATGGGTGCCTATGATTTGCTCAACGATCAAATTTCAGTCCTGAAAAAGAGAGTGCGCTAAACGCAACGTGAACTTTTCGTAATTTCACCCCAAAAAAACTTCAGTCCAATCAATACTATTTTCTAAAAACTGATTGTTCCATCGAGTTTTCCCATTTATTCATGTTTTCCTACAAGTTGTGGTCAAGATAATGATTTATTTTCATGTTTTTGTTTTCAGGACAGCCCAAGAGATGACTATGGATCTACGTCTCCCACACCCTCTGGTGAAAAGGTATCAAGGCCATCTCTTTATATTTCCTTTAATGTCAGGGGTACCTTCACATGCTTGCTGACCCGGTAGCATGCATGTATGGCCCAAAATCTATTCCCCCCCCCCCTCCAATCAAAGTTTGAGTGTATGTGTTTTATTAGAGACTGTAGATGTTTTGAACATTATGTTATCAACCCTTATATTATAATTGATAGAGATGCCTACAATAGCAACCATTGCCAGGGCTGTGCCCTGCACTTTTGCCTCCAGTTTTTGTGATACATGTTGTTTTGTCCCTTTGTCATTTGCTGAAGTTTGTTCCAGTTACGTTAGAAGAAAGTTTTTCTACCCTAGAAACAAATTATGAAGCTAGTTTTGTTAAAGCTTATTGTAGTATCCTAAATTATTGAAGTCTTATGGTTTTGACATTATTTTGTTCTGCTTTATGACTTTTGTTGTTGTTAGTAATCACTACCATTAAATGTTTGAGGTGAATCTAATGTAACATGATATCTCTAACAAACACTTTCTTTTCAGTCTGTTCATAACTTGTCTGTCTAACCCACTAACCACAAATAACATCTTTTAATTAATGTTAGCAATCTTATCTTACCATCTAGATAACCATCCTAAAAGCTTTGTATTGTAAAATCTCTTGTCGAACAAACATTTCATCAGGAGGGACTCTAATAAACTTCAAGCCTAGAGCTTATCAGTTCCCAGCAAGATGCTAACTTTTTGTCCTCTGATGTATTTTATTGAAATTTGACCAAAAAGCAAATTATCAACATTTTGAGTCATGCTATTATTCTACTTTTAAAGATGTCAAAATGTCTTAAACTACTTTTTGGGATACTTGGCTCTAATTCAATCTCAAATTTTGAGTTTGCCTTTATGATTCTTGTTTCAAGATTTATTTGTGATGAGAAATCAAACAAAGCACAAGAGTTTTTACAATTAATTAACAGTAACATAATGATAATTTTAATATTGCTTTTGCAAGCACTTGCTGCCTGTCTAAAACTAAACACTTGAAAATCACTGTCTTAATTGATATTAAATTCTAATAATAGATAACCTACTAACCTGTAACTATTTGTTCAATTTCAAGGAAAATATATATTAACTTTAAAAAATTACTCAATGTCTTTCAAATAAACTTCCCTTTTCAAAGACTGATGAAACAGCAACACAGATCATTGAATCCAGCACAAAGAAAAAGGTAAAAATCCTTTTATGAACTAAGGTCCCACTGACAGGTAATTGTAAACATAATTCCTAGTTATCCTTGATTTTGCATTAGGGTAGTATTTCTTTTTGAGAGAATAGTTAGAAATATTGCAAGCTTAAGTTCGCCTCAGTAGATCAATCATTTGTGAAGCAACAAAAAGGAAGTGTCCTTGTTGTGGTTTTTTCTGTGTAAATATGTCACAAGATCTCCGGAGAAACAAAGGTGTTGATTTTTGTGAAAACTGGGTCAAAGCAGAAGTTATTGCCACAGACCTTGTGATTTGACTGTTTCTTTAATAGGTTCTTGATCTACAGAGGAAGTATCTAAGAATTTTCAAGTATCAAAAATGTCAGATTTCTAGATAGATTAGTTGTCAGTTAAGTCAAGAATTGTTTCAAATAAATCAGTTTTGGTATAAATGTATGATAGCTAAATTTGAGTAACTTTTGTTTGTCATCTGTTTTTGTGATTTCTGAAAATGTTTGTGGTTTCTCCAACAAGCCATATTAGCAAACAACTTTCTAAGTTTTATGGTGGCTAGTAACTTTAAGATTGTTGTTCCTATGCTAAAATCAGTTTTCAAATGTGCTGTCCAGTTCGCAAGTTTTAAATGGTTGCAATAGAAAATTTGCAATGAGTGATATCTGACAGTTTCCACATGTCAGTTGCCCTGCATTTCATCTTTATCAGTTACTTACATTTTTAAATCAAAGTTATGTGTCCAAGGATCCTCCATTGCCCACAAGCAGGTTAATCAATTTTAAAATCAAAGAGTCTGTTAATGGCACCACATCCTCTAGATAAGTCTGTCTTGCATAATCATTTTGGAAAAAATGCAATATATACTGTCTAATAATGATTTTCTGTCAAGAAGTTAACAAGTAGCAAGCTAGGAAGATTTAAAATGAACAAAAGCAGGGCTAGAAGCATGGGGAAGGAAGAAGCCCACACCCTATTTATTTAATGTTCTTCTTACAGAGTACTAAATAATTATTTCTGTCCAATCTCTTGATGTTTGCTGTTGATCTTTCATGAGTGTATGCATCACTATTATTCTTTACCAACTTTTTCAATAAGTTTCACATCAAGAAGTCCAGGCTTGATTTTATGAGTAATGTACTGACTATAAGGATATTACAGGATTTAAATATTTCAAACAGATTTAAACATTGGTGCGAAAAGAGGGCTCAGTTTGCTGGAGCCTGACTCTTTGCTTGTAAGAAAGGGAAGGTTATCCTGATTTTTTAGGCTTCAATAAATGTTTACAGTGAATCTTTGGTAATTTTTAAAGTTATTTCAGTGGTATCATTGTCTTCATCTACGTTAAATAACCTGAAGGAACCCTTTTGATTGTAAGAAAATAGTCGATTTTGAGGAATATGAATCAGTTATTCCCGGGAAAACGGCCTTATCCTACACATCGAAGTTGTTATTATCTTTTTCTAAAATGCTATTTTTTTACATGCTATTTAGTTTGATCACCTTTTTGCGTGACTTGATTTCACAAATTTCAGTAATGATCAACAGATACCTAAGCCCCGAAAATCGGGCTTGCAATTAAATCCGAGTTAAAATCTCGTCTTATTTATCACTTCTGATTTTTAAGCCTTAATTAATCCTTGAGTTCTTTTCGTTTCTTGACACGATTTTTTTAATAAAGAGCGTCAGAATTTTGGGGATTTTTGGTGAAGGCTCTTTGAAAGTGTTGCCCGATCTCTCTATTTGAGCCCCAAGCAAGTAAATGGTATTTTTCTCGTTTACAGGAAAAGTTGACCCATTTCATCAAAATTCATGCCCCGTTTGACGAGCTTCTTGACATTGCGGAGGATATGAAGATGAAAATGCCAATCCAAGAAAATGATGTCGTAATCACGTCTTGGGTACAGAAGAATTTACCATGGCTCGACAGGGCGATTAAAAAGAACGACCCTTTTGTTGTAAGAGACAGTTACGTAAAGGAAGAGCCAAACTTTTTTGTAGCCACCTTCGACAAGTTCCGGTTGAAGGATTTTATCGGCTCATCAAACCAAGACGAGTTTTTTTCACCTGCAGAAAGAAGCAGGTACTGTGATGGAAGCATAAGTCCATCTGAATAAATTCTTTACGAGCAGCGTTTACGTGCAATTTTCCAGTTTTATTATTGCATTTGCTGGTCACTTTTATGTTGTTTATCTGTCTTGAGAAACAAAACAAAATTTAGGCAATACCCTTCTAACTTTGTCTCTGTGTAGTTTTGTCTCTGTATAAGTTTCTCTCTGTTTGTCTGGAATATACCTTTACGACGAAAATGCAGATAAGCACAAATTCTGATCCTATTTTACCTACATTCGGGAAATGTTACAAACATCTAATGATTTTGCCAACCATTTATGAAAAGACGGGAACAAGACTTAACAGCGCCATATCCCCACATGCCAGTTAAGCACGCCCCTGATACTTGGCTTCCCGTTGCTTAACCTACACCAGCGAGTTATATCAGTTGAATTTTTTCAAAAGCTGTTGCACCTCATCAACAGTCATTGCCTACCTAACCGATTTAAGGTTAGGCCAATATACCAACAAACTTTCCCACTCTAGGTAGTGTCGTTTTTAGCAGAAAGTAATTAAAACCAAGAGCCTTTTAACTAACATCGAAAGAAAAGGAACAAGTGAAACGTAAAGCACGGAAGATATAAATTCGGTTTTATTTCCTTTTCCTAGACTTGTATACTACATATGCGAGAAAACACGTTACGGAGATGGAAGGCTTCAAATTGGGATTGATCACATGGTCCACGAGGGAATCTTCTTGGCGCAGTATACACTTCATGATGGCAGAGTGCACGAAGAGGAAGGGCAGCAACCTGAAAACGACCGGCAGCGTTTGCACCATGACTGGGCCAGCTTCAAGCGCATTTTCAAGTACCAGCCGATACCAGCTATCAAAGAATATTTTGGCGAGAAAGTTGCTTTGTATTTCGCATGGCTTGGGTTTTACACTACGATGCTTTTGCCTGCCTCTATTGTTGGTTTTATATGCTTTCTGTACGGTATTGGAAGCTCGTTCAACTATGTTCCCGTCAAGGAAATTTGCAAGCCGTCCAACGAGAGTCTGTTCTACATGTGCCCACTCTGCGACAAGCTCTGCTCCTACTATCTGTTGAGCACCACTACATGTTTATATGCCAAGGTTACACATTGGTTTGACAACCAGGCTACCCTTTTCTTTGCATTGTTCATGTCATTCTGGGCTGTGTTTTTCTTGGAATTCTGGAAGAGGCGACAGGTTTCTCTGGCCTATGAATGGCATACGATGGATTTTGAAGAAGAGGAAGAGCGCCCTCGACCACAATACGTTGCAAGGGTGACAACGCTGAAAGAAGATCCAGTGACTGGAAATATGGAGCCAGTGATGCCTCCGTCACAGAAAGTACCAAGGCTGGTTGGTGCAGGGGGCATTGTTGTTTTCTTCATTATCCTCGTCATTGCTGGTGTAACAAGTGTGATTGTCTATCGTGCCGCCATTTACGCCATCTTGCTCTCAACTAGTTCAACTGAGATCAGAACTAGGGCCAAAATAGTTGTTGCAGGTAGGTTGAATCGAAACTTTTTTTTAACATACTAGTGACGTTTTAACACTTTTCACGTCATCAATGAGTCTAATATATTCATCATCATCTTCATTCGTCATCAGTAATCAGCCATCATCAGTGATCAGCCATAATCAGTTATCAGCCATCATCAAACAACTTCAATCACCGTCATTGATCAGCTTCAACCACGATCACTATGATCAGTCTCCGCAGAATATTGATTGCAGATTGCACCCTATCAGCTGCAGCCAGTTTCCTAAATGCTTCTTGGTTTGCCAGCAAAAGATTCTTTTATTCACCTTATAGGTACCGCGGCATGCATCAACTTGCTGGTGATCAACATTTTGAAATTCGTGTACCAACGGGTTGCTGTTATGCTTACTGACTGGGAGAATCCTAGAACACAGACTGACTACGAAGACAGCTTCACCGTCAAAATGTTCTGGTTCCAGTTTGTCAACACATACGCATCGGTTTTCTACGTCGCTTTCTTCAAGAACGAGTATTTTATTGGCTCTCCTGGCAAGTACAAGCGATTTGGCGGGGCAACTGCTTTCCGATTTGAAGGGTGCTCAGCACAGGGTTGCTTCTTGGAGTTGTGTGTCCAGTTGATAATCATCATGGTCGGTCAGCAGTTCATTGGAAACGTCACAGAAATCGGAATCCCGTACGTACCTTTGATCCCATATAAACATTATCCTATGATGTCGCAGCTTTTTTACCGTGGGACTTATTTTACTTGGGCCAGTGCACATATTCACCGAAAATTTCTTTAAAAACTGCAGGGTGTTAAAGCGCTTTTCTACCAATCGACTTTTCATGACTTTCATCCTGTGCAGTGTCTGCCAAAAATGCTTGGAACAGTTTTAGTCAATTCTTCAGTTTTAGTCAATTCCTCGTTTGTTTACAACTCATGCCTTAGCTAAGTTGCCTTCTCTCCCAGCACAATGTTGCAACTGCACCTTAGCCATTCTAGTTTCAAACAGGTTGTTCAAATAGTACATTTCTATTGAGGATAACGAACCTTCTTTGAATGGGCAGAGGGAAAACTGCTAATGCGAATGACAAAATACTTTTGGGTTTTTCTAAAACTGTAGGCAGGCGTTGTACATTCTAAAGCCAAAAGAATCACATCAATAATTGCATGTCTCCTGTTTATTCTCTCATTTTGAGTCTAAACAGAAGTGTTATCAAACGGAACGATACAGTGGCCAATTCGGTATTCGGTTAAATTCCTGTGTTAACATCTGTTTTATATTGAATTAAATTATTCGAAATTTTTTTATCAGTTGGTTGATGAAGATGCTGAAAAGAAGAGAGGCCAGCAAATACACAGCTTCTCGACCCCAGTGGGAGATGGACTACGACTTGCAGTCCCAAGACGAATTGTCACTTTTCTGGCAGTATCTTGAAATTGGTACGTGCCGATTTCCATTGCATTTGTGACAGCTACACAGCTAGTTCAACATACTGATTTTCTTTATCATTCATTAGTCTTGATCTGATAATATGTCAAAGTTTTGTAGAGATCTTCATATACTTTGTTTTCAATTCAAGTATACCGAAAGTAAGGTTAATCGGGGGGAGGGGGGGTTGACCCGTTTATTTTACTGGCATGGGATTGTATGGGCATACATTGTTTGGCCAATTGCATATTACATATTTGTCAAACAGCACCTTCTGCTTCAGCCTTCCCAATGACATGTTCAAAGAACTGGAAGCCACCCCATGTAGCTGATCTGGGGCGCTAAAACAACTCATTAGCAGGTTTCACCCCAGTTGTGCAAAGACCTTATTTGTCTCCTCCTAGCTCTCTTACAAACATGTTGTAGCTTAAATTCGCTTCTACTTTATAGTTCTGCAATACGGCTTCGTCACAATGTTTGTTGCCGCATTCCCATTGGCTCCGTTCTTTGCCTGGTTGAACAATATCGTCGAAATTCGATTGGATGCCGTCAATTTCATAAAGAATTTCCGCAGACCAGTCGCCCAGAGGGCTGAAGACATCGGAGCTTGGTTCTACGTCCTGAGTACACTGACAGAGGTGGGTGTTAGTGAATTTGTTTGGAGGAAAGCTGTAATGAACGGGTTGGGATGAACCATGAGAGAAATATGGAAGATTTAGTTTTTTCAGTGCTCAACATTCAATGCCATAAGAATTACATGTGGACATAGACTGCCATTGAGTCTTTTCCAAATGCCCGCATTTCAGCACTTATAATAGAGTTCTAAAGTGATGACGTCACAAAAATCTATTTTTAGAATTTTTGAATTTTGACTCCATAACCTGAAAGATCATCATGAAATACCTCTAAATGTGCAAAATCAGGCAAGTGTATTACGAAATGGCAGAGATATGGCCACATGTTTACTGGTTCTCTCCCCATCAAACCTCTGTATTTTGGTCTCTGTTCATAACTTTATGAACAGAGCCAAAATAACAGTGATTCGTTAGCAAACTTCAAATCTTTCATTAGCCATATCTCAACCGATTTTAGACATATCTGGCCAATTTTGCATATTTGGAGGTATTTCATGGTGATCTTTCACGCTATGTGGTTAAAATTCAAAAATTCTAAAAATGGGTTTTTGATGACGTCACACTTTAGAACTCTATTTTGACGATAATTTTTTGCAAAAACATAACTCTCCAAAACATTGCTAGTGCCTTCAGTTTCAGTTTATTCAGGAGCGACGTGTCGGGTTGATGGTTAACAAGAAGAGGTGATTTCCAAGAAGCCCCATAGCATTTCGCCCCTGCTTTCCATGCTATCAACAAGCTTCGTTGAAGCATGATAGCAGTGAGTATATTCAATATTCAATATATGTATAAACATGTTTTTTCTTCGCAGATGTCAGTGTTGGTCAATGCATTCGTGCTTGCATTTACATCAGAGCTTATCCCAAAACTGGTCTACACGTACAAGTACAACATCGAAGGCACATTACATGGTTACGTTGATTTCAGTATGTCCTATTTCAATGTTGCTGACTTTACGAACTCATCGAGACCTGACAACCCAACCGCCAATGTTAACTACACCATGCCTTTTTGCAGGTGAGATGTTGATAATTGAATTGCATTTGTTAACAATGGCGGACTTATTTTCACTGTGTTGTTAATTGAGTTGAATGGCGATTTCTATGGTTAAAGTTGATTTTTGAACTAAAGGCAAGCATACTCAGTGCTGCATCAGAGTTTCAGTTTCTTTAACACACGACTATATTCTAGACCTTTTAGGGCGCCCAATACTTTGAGAAGGGTACAAAAGATAATTCTACATATAGCTTTCCAACGCAAATCTCGGCTGGAGTACCACAGGGGTCTGCTTTTAGACCCTTGCTGTTCAATATCTTTATAAACCTGTTTTATATGGTAGTTGAATCAGATATATGGAGCTTTGCTTATGACACAGCTATTTACTCAATATTGTGAGAATCAGGCCTGTCACTGTGCCTTGAGTGAGGTTCAGGAATAAGAAAATTCAAATCCGTTACAATTATCGAAAATCTTATGTATCCTCGCATATCTTGAAAAAAATATACAAGAAGGATTGGGCCCTCCCTTAGGACGGGGGCACCAGGCACAGTGTCCATTTATGTGGCCTCTGTACTAAAAAATGATCTGGATCATGATCCAGATTCCGTTTTTACGTTTGCTACATTTAAAATGGGTATGGTAAATGGGGAAATCATGTTTGGGAACTTTGTTATTTTCTAGCAGACTTTAGGAATTGATGACTCTTATTCATGTGTCGATTTTGACATATTTTTTTGACTTTTAGCAAGTTTATATACATTAAATGTGTCTTGAGTTCTGTTTGTATGAAGCGAGCGGCTCGCATCTTAGCTAGTAAAAAGAATCTACCAGGGCTATCAATGGCTGTCAGTTGTTCTCTACTATGCATGCAATCTGATAAACGTGTAGATAAACGAATGACTGTTTATTTTGCCACAGGTATCCTGGATTCCACGATGGTTCAAGCCCGTATAGCTACAGCAAGGTATATTGGATCACACTGGCAGCTCGTCTCGCTTTCGTCTTTGTTTTCCAGTGGTTTATCACAGTCGTCAGCAGAGTTATTGCTTACATCATCCCCGACATGCCAAAGAGCCTCGATCTGAAAATCAAGCGTGAACACTTCCTTGCCAAGGAGAAAGAGATTTCCCACAGGGAAGCAACAGGCAAGAGAAAACCACGCACAAAAGACAAGCAGAAAGACGATTCGAAGTGGAGCGAGGACCTCAGCAAGACCGAGACACAAATGCTGTAATCCCGGGACAACGTTTTTGTACGTTAATCTTTAGTTAATCTTAAGAATCAGTCAATGTAATCGCTATTGATAATTTTTGTATTTAATTGTTGCTGTATTTTTTGTAGCAGAGAACTCGTCCGTATTCACTATGGCCTGGGTTTGCTTTATGTTCTCTTCGAAAAAGTGCTGAAATGAGGCCTATCTTTCGCTTGCCCTCACTCTGTATATTGGCAATCCACTATCTTTCCTGGTACGAGCAGCACATGTATATATCACATCTATGCTACTGTGATATTAGCTTCACCCTCGTACATCACATTCCCTATAATTTCCTTTAAAGGCATCTACCTCAAGTGCCCCTCCCCACAGTCGTACACCTACCCCAGTTTGTTATGTCCTCTTTGTGGCTAATCAATCTCTTATTGATTGTTTAATTTTGTGACGTCACTTCAAAACAAGAACTGTATTTATTTCAACTCATCTCTTTTATCGTAGGAAACGATCGCCTCGCAGACTTTTAATTCTATTTTGAGTTTTCGCTGAAGATTGCATATTCTTTATGTCATATTTAAAGTCTTAAAACTTACATTTTTGTCATTTATACAGGGTATTTTGTGTATAATACGATCATTCCACTTTTCGCTGTAAAAGCAACTCTTCTATGCACGTAAATGGAGGTTTAGAGCTTATTGTATTATTTTTCTACCGTTTTTTGTTAATCTTGGGTTTAAGGTATATAAGAAAATTGAATAATTATTAATTGCAATTAATTTGACGTTTTCGTGCTCGTATACCATGTTGTCCATACGGTTTTTGTACCTCCCTCCCTCCTCCAATTGATTCCGATAAACTACTTCCCCCTTTAACGAGCTGTTGCCAGGAATCGCCTAAAATTTTGCTGGATCTTATTTATTTATAAGAACACATATTTCCTCTACTAATTTTAACATAAGATTTCCTAAAATAAAACTTACGAGGAGTCCCCTTTCTAAGGTATTTTAAGAACAAGCCTAACCCGCTCGAATGATGCACCATAGACACCAACATTCCACTAAAAGAGATGCGAGGAGCAAACAGAATTTCACATATTTGTTAGAATCAACCTCGTACTACCCCTATCTCTATCCTTTCACCATGCACAATTTAGTTTTTAGCAAAACACGTAGGTTCCCAGCATGCACAATAAGCAAACTATTTGTTGACACCTTGTAGGCCTTGTAATAGAGAACATGCGGCCGTGCTAGGGAGAGTTTGGGGGTGTGACACCAACCTATCCCTCAAAGAGTCATTAATTGGTTTCTTACTCGATTGATTTGGCACTATTGCTTATCCGGTAAACTTTGTGATTTGCATTATTCATGAAATCATCCTGCCAAGCTGTGATTGACACCGCCCCCAAAATATTTCCCTAGCGCCGCCCAGTCAAGACGTAGCGTTTACGCGAGTCACGTTTTCCTATGTCGCATTTTTTGTAGCACCGGATAAAAACGCTGCTCAGTTGTTGGAACACAATTTTTTATGTTAATCTATCAAGCTTTATTTTCTTACAATTTACAGAATTATTAAAAGGATTGAATGAGTTTCCTTTTTCTTCTTCTGCAATTTTCCGTGCTTGTTTGTTGGCTATGTTAGGGATGGCCCTGAAGGCCTATAGCAAAACACAAGCGAGGAGAAGGAGGCTTTCAAGCGACGAGGATAGCGGGAGGGAGTTAACACGATGTGTTTCGGTTCTAATAAATTATTCGTTTTAAATATAAGAGCTACTTATCAAACGTGCCTCGAGAAGGATTGAGACAGTTTTGCAGTTCTTGCAACAAGACCTTGTCGGATCAAATAAAAGTTAATGGAACCGGCCTTGTTATCTACAAATGAGCTATTTGAACCCAAGGAAAATTTCATCCCCCACCTAGACAGATTAGTTAAACACCCAACCCACCACTTTCTGACAATGTGTACTTCAACATCGAGTTTGTGCATTAAACAAACATGCTTTAAAGAAGATAAACAACGAAATGTAAAAGTGAACAATGAATAGTCTCCCTCCTTTTCTACACCAGTCAACCAAGATTGTCATCTAGGTAGTCTTTATAAATCTGATTAAAAGCTATGGGCAAAATAATTTTTTTATTAAAGCAGGGAGCTTTGTTAACTGTAAACTCAGTATTGACAAAAAAGAAGTAAATCTAACTGCAAACAAATTAGAATATGCAAACCAACACTTTTTAAAGTAATCTTACAATTATCGTGACAGCAACAATAAAAAACTTTCTTCTCGAACCTTGTCATCTTTTATAAATTTATAGCGGATTTGTGACTGTTTCTGTCGTTATCGATGACGTCATCAATCACGTGATACTGATGCAAAATCTTTTTGGACCCATCTTGGATCGGTTAGGTGAGAAATCAGATTTTCACAGCCATAACCCTGCCTATGATGAGCTCAGTGTGTTTAGTTTGCTTTTTTCGGAAATCAGCAAACATTTTCGTGTATGGAGCCTCAGCCAAGTTTGCACGGCTTTTACTACAGTCAGCGCTGTGAAAGATTTAGACTGGAAAATTGAAACTGCTTCATGACTATGTTTATTGGCTTTAGAAAGTCCAAAAGCATGCAATTTACAAAAATGAACAATGAATTATCCTCATCCTCTTGTAGCTGATTCAGCAAATCTTTATCCAAGCCACGGTCTTCGCTTCTTAACTTCTTTGATGATCTTGATTTTCAGGTAATTTTTAGTGCCTGCTTTGCAATATTATATTATTTCAAAGACTAACTCAAAAAATTCGTCTTTTCTACAATAGAATATGACACTTCTACTTTAAAAGCCACTGATTAAACCACTACGTGCCTATATACTACAGTACATTGTCCACAAAATTGTTGTTCATATAATTTGTGAATTCAAAATGCCCTGACCATCGTGTTGCAGGCAGTTGTTTCAGTTTTTGCTTGGCAGCGAAAGTTTTTTTGATCTTAAGTCCTAAAAGCATGTTCTTCCCTGCAGTATTGTATTAACTTGACTCAGACTGTCACGACAATCCAGCGAAAACAAAGGAAACCTCCATTAAAGAATTTAGAAGTAAAATTCTCGAGATAGGAAAAAGCTGGTATTCTCTTGCTCCAGGGGTTGCATTACCACCCCACGCTACCCCTTGGTTAAGGAATTGATGAAAGATGAGATCTTTGCGACCGCGCTTTTTATAGTTCTCTCAATCGTTCTTTAGAAAAAATTATTTTCAGGGAATTTTGGAGATCTTTCTTGAAAACAAAAGGATTTTTGCTAAAGGAGAGCAAGGTTTTCATCGAGTGATACCCCCTTGACGTTCCCTACACCATTTGCCAATGAGGTAGGTGATTAAACCTCATTGCTCCAAACCAAGAAGGCCCATTGGCACAGTCAATTTACCCCCTCCCTGCTCCCTCTTGGCGGCCCTGAACCTACGGCATTCTAGGTGGGCCAATTATACAGGGTCTCCGACGAAGAGGGCGGGACCATGAACTCCCACAATTTTGCAAAACTTTTAGAGTTTTTTTCAAAATCTTTTGCTATGGCTGTTCAATTTTCCTTGCCTCCCCCCCCCCCTCTCCAACTTGTGTCGGAGCCTATGTTAAAGGGGTTCTGCTCTTTCCCACATCGCGACGTTTGTTCTTAGATATTCGTCAACAGTGATTTTTTGGCAGTATCCATAATTTCAGGGATGCCGTTTTACTACACTCAAATTTAGGCCAAAGGCAAAATTGTTTAACTGCATGCTTCGATTTGCCCCAGTATAAGTGCTATGCAATTGCTTTCTTAATAAGATACTTTATGAACAAATGTTGATATCCAAGAAATAAATAAGAATCTCAATGCAAGAGTTTGATTTAAAGCAAACAGAAATAATTTGACTAACTTCGAATAACTTGTTTTTTCCATTTTTAAACTGTAGCAAGGAACCTTCTTTCTTTTTAAAAACATCGAGTCTGAATCCATTTCTCAATTTTATTTTGTAAATCGGCTCAGTCTTTCAAACGAGGCTGCATAAAAAGCGCGGGAAATATCATGTGCACATGTCCATAGGGCCTTGTCAAAACAGCTGATTGCCTTGACTGGTAAAGGATGGGCAAACGAAAATCTAGGATAGTTGCAGAAAAGGAGATGGTGAAGAAAGTTGCAGGAAATGAAAATAATGATGCTGGAGTTTTGACAGGTGGGAAGCGAGGCCGGTCACGAAATAATTTAGCAGAAGGTGGGGTTTCTAAAGCAAAAGGAAGACAAATAAACGCAAATTTAAAGCGAAAAAACGTGATAAAAAAGGTGGCTAGTGACAAAAAAAATAAGCCGACATCACAGTCTGATTTGGAAGGCACCATTGAACTAAAAAACAATCAATATGGAAGTCCAGTTCATGAGAAGAAAGAGTCCAAAGATGGTACATCCTTGATGATAGGAACATCGCCCAAAAAGCCTCTGAATGGGCCATTGAAGAAAGTTGGGGTGCACGTGTCCATGTCTGGGGGCTTGCACAAGGCAGTTAAAAATGCGCTGGACCTAGGGGCACATGCATTTGGCCTTTTTCTACGTAATCAGAGACAATGGGCATCGAAACCACTCACAGACGAAGATGCAGAAAAATTCAAAAACGCATACATTGATGCTAAGTTTTCTCCCAACAATATTTTACCGCATGGTATATATCTAGTGAACTGCGCTTCTCCAGATGATGTATCATTGTCGAAAAGCCGTGATACATTAATTGATGAGCTAAAAAGATGTGAAAAATTGGGTCTGACATTGTACAATTTTCACCCAGGCTCTACATGTGGAAAGATCACTCGAGAAGAGGGTATTGATAGGATTGCAGAAAGCATTAACATTGCCCACAAAGAGACAAAATATGTTGTGACTTTGATTGAAAACATGTGTTGTCAAGGCTACACTGTGAGTCAAAAGGCTATTTTAATGATTTAATCCCAGTCATGGAGAAACTTTCACTCAGATTTGCCAGCCAGCTGTTGTTCATGATATACAATAGAAGCATTGATGCAGAGAGGAAAGGCACCTGTCAATAAACATATCTAATGTTTCTCTAAAAACTACCTTTAGATGCTAGGTAGAAACAAAACCAAAAAAATATATGTCAAACCTTCACTTGTTTCCTTATTTTTTCATGAAACACTGCAAGTTTCCTATTGCAATTTTCTGCTAAACAAGAATGTAGTTCCCTCCATCCTCAAAACAATTTATAAAATGCCAGTCACTTCTTTTCTCCCTTCTTTTGTGAGCGAGAATTTCATTCATGCAACCTCTGGATTTTAAGTGTTTCTTTTCAATCATATTGTAAATCAATTGTTTTAGATTGGTGGCAAATTTGAAGAGCTGAAAGCAATCATTGACAAAGTTGCAGTTAAAGACAGGATTGGTGTCTGCTTTGATACATGTCATGCTTTTGCAGCAGGTTATGACTTAAGAAGCAAGGAAAAATTGGATGAAACAATGAACAGTTTTGATAAGATTGTTGGCTTGAATTATCTTAAAGCTGTTCATTTAAATGACTCCAAGGGTGAGTTCTCTTGCCATCTTGACAGACATGAGAACATTGGTCATGGAAAGATTGGAATAGCTGGGTTTGAAGCATTAATGAATGATGCACGATTTAACAATCTACCAATGATTCTTGAGACACCAGAATGTGACTACCAAAGAGAAATCACAAAACTTTACTCTCTAGTAGATAAGTAGCTTAATTTTTCCTTTGTTTGCTGTTTTAGTTTTAGTTAAGACAACAAGGCTGAGGGTCAATTACACCTGAAAACAAATCTTGAAGCTTAAATGGAATACTTTGCAATGGAATATTTGTATAAATTTGCAACCAAATTGTAAATGCTACAAGAATATTACAATGAGATACAATTTCAAAATGGAAATATAATGTTTAACACAACACTGTATATTATCAAACAACACTCTTGAGGATATGACAACTACAGGTCAAAGAGCACAAGAATAAAATCACATATTTGCAAATAGTAAATACATGTCTAAGAACATTTTACAAACACTGGTTGAAAAACCTCATAAGAAACAGTGAATAGACTTGCTTAACATCACAGGAAATTAACATTTTTACTCAAAAACTAACACCAAATACATATTCTAATTCTTTCATTTCCTGTGACACTTTGGGGAAATCCAAATAGCACATATTTTTGGAAATTATAAAAAGGTCCATGGAATATTGTGCACATATGAAAAATGTCTTTAGATTGAAACAATCTGAAACAAGTTTGAGCACTTGCAAAAAAGTCATAACAATCCTAAAAATTTTTTAAATTTCAGTATTATTTCTCCATTCATTTTAATTTTCACAAAAACTAATAGGTGCACTAACTTGAGGAAGCAAAAAATAATTTTCAACAAATTAAGAAAATAAAAGTAGACACAGTAATATGATAATACAACCACAAATAAACCATCAAACACAGAAAGACACACTGCCTTAAATTGGTAGTTTGGATATACTAGCTTGCTACATTCTAAAGACACAAGTCATAGGATGAGATTATTTTAGGTGGTTTTACTTGAAACCAGTTTACCCCTGAAATCCATTTTACTAAATTTGAAATCTTTTTGCATCTTTTATCTCTTAAAATCTTTTTTTAAGAAAGAAGGATAGTGCTAAACCTGTGTCACAAAATTCTAAGGTTTATTATCTACTTATACATTTCAACTTTTGTACTTAAGAACCATAAAGAGAATGATCAATTAAATACTGGACAAATGTTGGTTCCACTTGAGTTGTTTCATATCAATTACACTAAGCTGATTATTAGTTTCATGATAACAAACTGGAAACAAACATTAACACATCTAAAATAAACAAAGACAAAATAAACTACAAACAGCTATACTAACTTTAAGATTTTTGATATTAAATTTTTCTTGATCTCTTTTGACATTGCAGTTTCCAGAATGAAAGTGAATTATTGCTGAAAAACTTGTGCTTCAGGCTAGGCCCATCCTTTCATATAAAGCCAGTTAATATTGGCCCTGCTGTCTTCTTCCACCAATTTCATAGCCTAAATAGAAACTTTATGAATACCATTTGTACACTTTCCAGCTGAATAGAGTCACCACTAAAATTCCCAAACAGTTATGGAGTCTTTTTCTATATATATCATCACGTCTCTGCAAAACCACAACAGATGATGATGTAAGGTGCTCTAACTGCAGTTTTTCTAAAGTGCTTGTGTCATATTCAACTTGATATTTGCAACAAGGATCAAACTGCCAAGAAACATTATATAATGTTATGCATGACAAACTCAAAACACCTAGAGGAATGCATAGATAATCTTTATACTTTTGAGGACAGATAAGTTGCACCACTAGACTTCCAGCACCTGACAATACTCCAGTCTTGTGCAAAAAGTTTCCCATTTGTATCCATTTTGTAGTCTCATTTCCTATCTGCTCTGGTTCAATTATAATAAATGGCACCTTGTCATCTAATGCATCTTCCAATTGCTCTTCATAATACTCCTCCTGTTCCTCTTCAAATTCTTTCCTTATAACAACATGTTCAGGAACAGGGCTCCATTCCCTTGAAAAAAATACAAATTTCAATAATTTTAGACTAAACATTAAATCTCCTTGGTTTACTGGACCAAAAAGATCCAAAACAAGAACTAGCTGAAATGACTGAGATAATTGAAATTAAAACTGTAGTCTGATGTAGAAAAAAAACAAAAAAATGTCCTGAAGATTGGAATGTATCCAGGAACTAGAGGAAAAGAAGTAGATTGTTAAGAACTGTGGCAAGTTGTGGGTCAAATTTCTTGACAAGAATGACTTAAATTGCCACTCAATTTTCTTTTAATTGCCACTCAAACAAGCAACCAATGTTTGGCAAATTGTCATTTGCCATGCACGTGCATGTCCAGTAACTTACAGTATCACAGAATAGTATACGTGCTTGCCCACAGTTGGATTATAATCGGTGTTATTTTCAAAACAATTAATTCACATTTCCACTTGGTACTGGGTTGTTTGCCTTTTCCTGGGTTGTTACAGGCCTTGCTCTAAGTAAAATGAAGGTGCTCCATAAAAAGAGCCCCTTAGAAACTCTAGGCGCTCTATTTCGCACCTCTAAGTAAATGTCCTTGAGAGCATCCTTCGAGAGCTTCGGGAGAATGTTAAATATGAAATTCAACGGTGATACCAGAAAGCACCATAATATGAAATAACAAAACATGCAACAAACACTATGTTAATATAAATATAGAAATATAATAGAATAAAGTCGCAAAATTGTTCAGATTTTTCTAGATATGTAAGTTGCCATCATTCGATGAGCTTTTATCAGTGTCAGTATCACTACTGTTATGTTCAGCTTCACATATTGCTTCATCAAAACGCATGGCTTTAAATCGAACATTTAACTTTGTTTCCTTTTTTTCATGTTATCCATTCTATAAGAAACGCTAGAACATCTACTACTCGCAAAAGCAAATTAAAAATGAAAAGCAATGCGACAATTTGGACGGAAACGTGATCGCTGATTTGCACAGGCGATTTTAAGTTATTAAAAAAACAGAAAATAATATATACTTCAATAGAAGATTAACGCTTGCTCAAAAATCAAATAAATCTGCCGGAGAATACGCTAACGCTTGATGGCCTGTATTCTTGATGGTTATTAGAGGGTTATTAGATTTAAAATGATATCGAAAACCCAACGTCGAATTTGCTGAATTTTTTCTCAAGGGGTAAACTTACGCAAATCATAATATTGCGGTCTGTTGGGAAGATTGTTTATGCTTGCTCAAGTTGATTCAACAAATTCCAAAAAATTTATTTTTCTCCGCGTTAATATTGTTTTTACGTTTTGAGGGGCTCCATAAATCGCTCTCCAAGGCTTTTTTTGGGTGCGCTCTAGGCGCGCGCGCTCGATCGAGCGCCTTTCCGGGCAAGGCCTGGTTGTTACTGAGTTGTTCCACTTGTTACTGGGTTGTTCCGTTTGTTCCTCATTTTAAAATAGGCAAAGATGCATGTCAACAATGGCAGACTGGCTCAGTACTTTTAATCAGCCACAAAGAACTTAAGGGTGTGATCACTTGAAAATTCTGAAGACCAAGAGTACCACCAATTAAAATTAACTAGAAAACCCTGAAGGTGCCAAAGTTTTAGACTTTGAGAAGTGGTAAAAGCTTGTTTGCTTTCAACATCTTATTTAAAAAGGCAAAGGGCTAGGTTTTCAAAAGGTTCAAAGAGGCCACTCATAGTGTCAAGCTGCCAGGAAATTTTCAGCAAAATTTTGATGCAGGAAATTGTTGCTGTTTGCCAGAAAGTTTTTAGCGTGAAATATCCATTGCTTGATTTAAATATGAACATCAAATTTATGCTACTTTCTTTCTTCGACACGCTGTTTTCTTGTGATAAACATACATACTGTATAATAATCCAAAAATACAATCATCAGGTATTATCAGCATCTGTTATACCATATTTCGGGCAATTTTGGGGATGATTTTCAGGGACTATTCTAGTTCAAGCAAGCAAAAACAAATTTCATTTCTCTTTTTACATTAGCCATTCCAGATAAGTGAAAACACTTTAAGACAGCCAATCTTGTTATGTCAATTGCATTTAAGGTGAACATACCCCAAAAGAGGGGTTGATGTGTCCATTATATACTTTTCTCCTAGCATTCCCATACATTTTTCATCGCTAGCTGAATAGAATGTAAGTGTTTTCGGCTTACATGATCTTTGCCTCTAGCATCACCCTTGATTTCAAACATTAATTTTAATCATTGAAAAATAAATTTATTCTTACATATTGTATGACTACTAGCTTTTTCGATAACAATGAGCAGCAAACATGAAACCCAGAGCCAGATGTAGGATACATCAATACTTCAATAGTACTGATATGAAATTAAATCAAAATTTTTATAGATTTTCAGATCTACTAACTTTAATAACCTTGATAATAAACTATAAGTATTGTGCTCAATCACATTCTCCTTGATCATCTAATACAGTTTAAACAAAATGATTCCTTTTCATATAGCTGTGATAAAAAATCAAGCAAATTAATTGTCAAAACTTTGCAGGAAATCTTGACCTTTCAAATTTTGCTGCCAGAAAGAAAAATAATTTTTCAAGCCCTGGTGTCAAGGCTGCCAAAGTCAAGGCAAAAAAGCCAAGTTTTAGAGATTTTCCTTCATAACCAGCATAAGTGACAAATATTAAAAAGGTTCATATTTTTATTTCTTAATGTCTTTATTTTGTTCTACAATCCCTTGGTTGACTTTTCGTCTTCATTAAAATGGTCTTTCCGGTTGTGGGGAAGGTCTTTGAAAGTTGAATTATTGACTTATGGATATACTGAAAAAATTACAACAACCTTAAGGTCTTTTTTACAAAAGATTCAGATTTTCCTTAAGAAAGCCATTATATCTATTAAAGCTGGAAGACTGATAACTTTGCTGATTGAAGTAGAAAAATCTTTCAAGAAACCTTTAACCTATTAACTCAACCCAAACTTTAGAGAAAACTTCTTAAACACAAAATGAGTGTTTTATTAATGACAGTTCTGGTATGGCAACAGTTTTTTTATCTGCAGCGATGTTAGGATATGATATGGTCCAAATATTATATCAAGAACTGCCAACACCCCAGTTAACTGCTCAATATGCAAGGAACTTATACATTCAAAATCCAACTAATACAATTGGTTTATACAAATCCTAAATAAAAGCAATACAAGCAAGCAAGACACAATTGTAAAACATTTTTGTATTCGTAACTAATGTGCATATGAAGATTTGTGGGCACAGGAAACTTGCCAACTGTGTAATTAAAGGGCCTCTCCAGCCAAATTTTGCACTTGCATTTTATTAGCTAATGTAAAGGAGTTGAACCTGCTGATCACGAATTTGTTCTTTGTTTTTCGATAATTTTTACAGTTTGTGAGATATAAGCTCTTGCATTTTGTTAATTGAATTGAATTAACCAACAAAAAATTTTCGGTTTGGTAACACTGTGACGCAATTTTGACGTCACAGTGTATTTCGCTAGTCTCGCCTCAAACCGAATCGAACGACGGCGATTTGCAAATTGAACACTGCAAGTGATGGTACTCTCACTTCTGTTCCACCGGCTTTTAGTTTGAGCATTTCAGACATCAGTTCTGAAGCCATTAGTTGTTCATCGTTTTTGGAGAACAACTGAAGTGTCAATTTCGATTAATTATACGCGAGGGAAGAGCTGGAACAGGAAGCCATAGCTTTGTGGGCCTACACAGGTGATCAAAACAAAGTCGTGACACAGCATAGACACATTCCAACCCACAAACTTAGAATGATTGTAAACATTTAATATTTTTCGATCCTAAAAAACTCCTGCTCTAGATTTAGATGCAGTTATCAACGCATGACCATGACTTCTTCGCGATTCAGTGGAAGATATACGAAATTCATTACGGACGAGAGCCGTACACTGTGACGTCAGAATGTCACAAAACTGATTTGGCTTTTGTCGTTTTTTTCTCGGAAAGGTGCAACTTAAAGCCTTATAACTTCTAAACTAATTGAAACTTTGCAAAAACAACAACTTTGCCATAATACACGCACCAGATGCTAACTTTTTAGTCAATAAAAAAATTTTTTTTTTGGCTGGAGAGGCCCTTTAAGTACTGGTACTTAATTACACATTTGCAGAGAGCTGGTTCAATCTAAGGAAAATACAAGTCACATTCTGCAGACAAGATGGCAGAATAGACTTTAAGCTTATGAGTAACAACGTAACGAGCTGCCTTAACCTTCATATTTATCAGTCTACACGGGGAGATGATGGCAGTTCTCAAGTCCAGAGATCTCTAGTGAGTGCTCCTCATTTTACCTGTGCCATCTAGTTGGTGGCTGAACTGAAGATTTTTTGACATTAGAGTAGTTGCAATTTTGGTCTTCAATTTTGAGTTTCGGTGTGCAGCATTACTCTTGATCCTGTTGACGATTAAAGACCTTAGGCCAAAATACCACCACTTTATATATACTACTATTTGAAGCTGTATTCAAGTAATTTTTCAAGATCAGGGTCTCAGGTGAGTAAGGCATAAATCTTTGACCGCAAAAGTAAAAGATCTAATTCTTGAAAAAGCATTTTTACCTGTATACGCCGTTTTCCAACTCCACAACTTCATCCGCCATTTTGCCGCCGTAACATGGTCATCAACCCAATCCCAGCATGCAAAGGAGCAGGTGACGTCACAACTCGAAAATCGTTTTTACACTAACACTAACTCTTTTTAAATCACTTACATTAACAGTATCTTTTAACACTAACTCTGGGAGAAGAAAAGTCTACTCTTTTTATTTTTTGCTCCTACAATTTGAAATAAATTCCATGCCAGAATCGGACAAGATGCTTTTACAATTGTATTTGACCTGATGAGGTCCACTTTTTCTGGCTATCACTAGGCAGAATTTTTCACAAAAGAAAAACAAATTTCATATGCGATGTGCTTTCTTAACTTTTAAATCACTATTTACATTTAAATTATAAATGCAAAAAATTACCAAACCAATTTTACAATCAAATTTTGCAAACCATATGTAGCTCAAGAGCATTAAGGCAATTTTAATTTGCCAAGATTGGCAAAAAGGGTGCTACAAAACAAAAATAAGTGCTAATTAAATAGCACTGTGTCAAAGAATAATACATAAATTATGATCGAAGATCAAACTATAGAGAATAATACATCAATGATCAAAGAGACCTATTATGAGCAAAACCATCCAGAACAATCCAAAATCACAATCAAATTTTCATCAGTTATAGAAGAACTCAAAGTTGTACGAAGCTTCAGATTGGCAAATGCGAGAGGTGTAATGCAATCAAAATATTAAGGGGGGGGGGGGGGCTCTTATGCAAAAGGTTGCAAAAAACAAGAGCAAAATTAGAGGTTGGCTAAATCTCCACATTAACAAGGTGGGCTCAGCCTCCCAAAGCCCCCTTAGCACTACACGCTTGGCAACAGGATGGCTCAGCTGTTAGCGGTATGAATACAGACCCAAGGGTCCCTGGTTCGAGCCTCTGGCATGACCAAACTTTCACCCAGAGAGAAGTGAGTCACCAGCTCTCTATAATTCCAGGCATAGGAATCACAAGGTGTGGTCAAATCAAGAGGAAGGACCAGGACAATGCTAGTTAAGCATGAGCTTTTCAGTGTCCTAAAAACTACCTTTTATTGCTAGGTAGTGAAACAAATACAAATAATACAAGCAAAAAACAGCTGATTTGGAGAACAACAGAAAGCTTCCATATTGGGGAAAATACTCTACCTATAATGGGACAACATGACTGTGACTTGTCGTCTACAATGAATTTAAATTCAGTTGATAATTTACTTACCTAGGATAACTAGTACTGGATTCAGCATTCCAATTTGATCAGCAAACTGATCAAATGGAAATTCTGAAAGAACAGTAATTATTTCTAGCAAAAACAGAAATTACTGATCAGTCCCAGTTTATTATGTACAACATCTTAGGAACACAATCATTTTCAATATTTACTACACTTCAGAGACCTTTCTTAATTTATACAATTTGTCTCTTTACTTTTCTCAAAACAAAAAATTATTGAAAATTTATTTGCAGAACATACAAATTTGAGAGTCCACAGCCCATAACAGCAAAAAACAGTGAAGCGAAGAACAAGTAATATGACATTCCAACTTCTGTATTTGGTGGTAACTTGTACGCTTCTCCGCCAATTTCAGGAATATCAAAACCAAATGGGAATATAACAGCTGACAAGCAGAATAGGATCACTGAAAGAAAAACGCAAACATTTTATCACATTTCAAACATTTATGTTATATTAAAAAATTGATATGCACACAGAAATAAATTCAGGGTAGAGAAAAGTGGCTTTATGAAAAAAAGCAAGTTAATATGGTTCATTAAAAGAAGGAAAAATTTAACCAAAGGATTGAAAAGCCCACTCCATAGGAGATACAACATTGTGGAAACTTCATGAGGCAGTCATCTATGGAATTGCCAATTTGTGAATAGACTCACAAATTTAAGTCTATTTGGCAAACCTTATGTGTATTACTACCCTTTTCAAAGGTTTTTTAGTTTTATAGGATGAGGTGGTTTCAGACAAAGTCAGCAATTAACCTCAGGAAATAATTTGGTTGCAAAAGATTCTAGAAAAGTTCATAAGGACCAGAAATATAATAAATGCAAAAACATACAAGCTTCACTCCAATATATTTAAAAAAACTATGGCATTGCTTTAAGCTGAGTATGAGTGACAATAAAAAAGGCCACCAGGGGGCTGGAGCCGCAAATAATTGTCAAACTATAGTATATATCCTTCATTAAAGTGTTTTCAATGAGAAAGAATATAATGGACAGCCCACTCCCCAATATGAATTTTGTTCTGAGGGCACTGATAAAAATAAACTGAACAGAAAATTATCACTATGTTTATGTACCTCCAACAAATGACATCCATCTTGCTCCTTTAAGAAAACTTTCTTTCCAATGTGAACAAATGATCAAAATACCTGAAGCCATTATAAGTATAGTGCCAATAACAAGAAACACCAATGTTGCTCCCCATTCACTTGGTAAATGAGGAGCTGTACAAATTTCCTTTTGCCCTTTAAAAGTGATGCATGTTTTTGTCAAACCAAAGCTGGTAGATCCTGCAAACAACAAATCAATCAGCCATTTAGAGTCATGTTTTGAGAGACAATTAACCATTTATGGTCCAAATATTATAAATATTTTGCTGAAGAAAAATCCTCTTTTGTACACTTGCTTAAACAAACAAAATCGCTCCTGGGGGGAGAAGGGGCCAGAAGTAGTAGTATTCAGGAAAAGAGATGAAAAATGTAAAATTAGGCGGGATTGTACTTATATCATCAATGAACAGAACCAGGGTTGCCAGATTGGCCTTTTTCAGGCCAAATTTTCCAATTTTGGCTTTTTTCATAGTTAAATTGCTTGGAAAATTTGTTTTTGGTCAAATATCACCACCTATTGGTCAGGCAAAAAGTAGATCCTAACCATCAGGTAGAGATCTTTTTAAAGAAGTAAGTTTCTTATTTGGGTTAAGAGATTATTTAATAGACACGTGTGTAGTAATGTAAACAGCGCATGCACAATGTATTTTCAAGAAATATTTTTTAATTATGGCCTTTTTATGAGCATTTTGGCCTGGGTTGCCTACCCGCCTGGCCTTCTTTTGTAAATCATATCTGGCAACCCTGAACAGAACAGAAATTAGAGGGACAAACAAAATTTTAAGAGTCGAGATTGTGGTTTTATGATGGCCTAAATTGAAGGGGCATGAAAATATCTATCCAATTCGACTGAGGTATCTTTTTGTCTGCTTGCTTTAGGCAGGAAGCCTTTGCTCATAATTGAAAGTATAAATCGACTAGGTAGCTTCGTTTAAGACAGTTGCTGATGAAAAGTTGATGAAAATATATGCAGTCGAGCTTTCTCTTCGCTTATGCTATGATTCAAAGCCCTCTCATTTCGTCAGAGATCAGGATTCATAAACTTGGCGCAAAGCCAGCACCTTTGAACTTGACACAAAATCTGTCGGATGAATTTAGTGTGTACAAAAACTGTAATAATACAATTCACTCTTACCAGCAAATTTGGATACGATCCATTCAGGTTTCAGCAAGGCTACAGTCACTAAAGCATCTGCTACTATAAAAAACGAGGCTGTTATGAAACCCAGCCTGGCCATACTTGCTTGAAACAAAACTGAAATCAATTCACACCGCCGCCATTGCTCTCCGAAAATTTTTTGAGGGCAGTTGCGCAGCTCCGTTTGTTTACGATCGCCTTCGCAACGTTCCACCCTGAGAATGCTGCGCCCAGAAAAAAATAAATATATATATACAAACTTGAATGGTAAAATAAATACAAACAAAACACGAACCAATAAATATAAAATGAAATAATATGTACCAATAAAGACATAAATGAAAGTTTAGAAGACACTACAAGCTACAGTTAAGACGACACAATGGTTTACTTTACCCAGCAGCTTCACGGACACTCGGAAAATTAACATATGCCTGGATCGTAACATAAAATTAAGTTCTTTTAGCAATGCAGCAAATTGTTACCCGAGTCGCTGCTTTCCAAAATCTAGATCCGATGCTGAATATTAACGACGTTGACGTTGCCATATCCCTCTGAAGACTCACAAAAACTGTAAGTTCTGGGAGGGAATGGGCAAGAAAAGTTCCCTTTTTCCCACCATAGAGCCGATGCATCAGTCCTACCTTAGATACATAAGATAAGAGACGGGAAGAGAAAACATGATTGAATTAAGAGTCTAGTCTTTCCAAAACGAAAAATAACAAGAACTTTGAAATGAAACCCGTGATGTAAACAGGCCCTAGCCTAATACAAAATGATAAAAAAGGATTCGAGTAAACACACTACGCTTGATATCAAAAGGGGAGTGAGGGACGGCTAGGGCCACTTATGTGCAGAAGCCCAAACTACAGAACTCCTTTTTGTCTATCATTCCCAATGGCATCAAAGAAGCACACAAGGACTTAAATACCAAATTGAAGCATGACAATTGACACCCAAATGAGACTAATACCAATAAGAACCTCTAGCGAAATCAAATTCTACATCCCTCGTGAAAATAACTCTGATAAAATTTCATTTGTTTAGCATTTTAATCGACCGCCTCAAGAATTAAATTTAAAGTTTTCCCAAAGCCGTAGAAGAAAAAAATCGAAAGGACCTCAAAAATAAGCAAAGCCTCTTGTTAAAATCTTTCAAGTAAACTGCCCTGGTAATTTACTCCCCAGCAAAAAGTATTCCCCGGCTACTTTGAGATTGGCGAGTGAAGTATATAGGACTATGTTTATCTACCTAGATCTAAATAAAACCTCGATACCCTGGTTACCAGAGCCTCCATTATTTAGTCTCAGAAATATAGTCTCCATTATTTAGTCTCAGAAAAATAGATAGGAACTATACATTTTTTGCCACCACAGCTGTATACAATACTTTATCCCCGGATTTATGTGGCTCTGGTACCCAGAGTACCGATATGGTGGACCTCTGAAATATTACCGCCTTACCGGACTCAGGGGGTTTTCCATCTAGAAAATCGAGATGAGTTTGTAGCGTCCATGATTCGGTATCTAACAAAGAAAATATCAATGTTGAGGTATCTCAGGGATCCTGGTTGGGCCCCTTTTTTCAAACATACATGAATGATTTGCAATTTTTTAAATAGGCAAAGGCAAGCATGCACGCAAATCACACGCTTATTCATCAGCAGATCCTCAAGTTTAAAAGTGATATATAGAGAGCTGTCTTGCATTGAAAATTGGCTACAAGACAACGAGCTGTTATCTAAACATTTTGGACGACCATGCTTTTTGGATGCACAAAGCACAGAGATCTGGCACCCCCTCTCCTAGAGGTGCGAAGACCAAGAGACAGTTTGCCTCAGTAATCTTTAACACAAAGGATTTTTCTTAATAAACCAGGTAGCATGTCTTTTCCCTGTCCCTTTAACTTTTCTACCAAAACAAGAAACGTTTCAGCGAGGTGAGCAAGAAAAAACAACAGTTCAGTCAGAAAATGAAATATAATTCATTGTGATAATTCTCAAGATATTTTTGCTATAATGTAATGTTTAGCCGGTAGTCATGACCCATAAATATCTATTTTCCCCATAACCATCCTTTGACAAAACCAGCTATTCCTTCGCCTTCCGCCTTCTTCTTTTTTTCCATCCTCGCCTCCAGATTCGGCATTTCGATATGATTCAAGGCGAGGTCAAAGAATAATGGTTTGCAGGGCACTGGCTGGAAATTTGGTGGAAAGTTGACCAAGTTCGGTTTCTTCAATGATGCACCGGCAGCCTCCCGGTAAACATCCGGGCGATCTTTCAAGGGCTGATGGAATGAAAAACGAAATTGAACAATCAAAACATGTCGGGGGTTGCAAAATTAAAATGCTACTAGTTTGCTGTAACTTGGGAGCTAGCTATCTAGCCTATACTATATATTTGTCAAAAAAGTATAAAATGTGTATTAAAGGCGAAATTTTATGAGAAAAACTTACAGGGGCGAATTTTGTCTCGATATGTAAGCCAGGATACAGGGTTGAGATGTTTTCAGAAACCGCCTAAGGACTCTACACGCTCCTCTCTAAGCCACGAAGCATATTACAGTTTAAGGGGGCTAAAACGTCTTTGGGGGCTAAACAAAAGAGCAAGCAGATTTTCTGTATGATTCTAAGACCCCTCAAACGCCCCGCGCCTCCGCGGTCCTTGCATGAAAGAGAAAGTCAGAAGGCAGGATAAAGATACAGGTTGAAATTTTCTTACGTAGACGATTTCCCCAAATAAAGGATCTAGCAGGTGGAGCGAAACTTAGCCCAATTCTCGTGTAAAGCTCTCTAAGATGGATATGCCTACATCCACACTTAGTACAATTAAGCGTTGGATTAAGTATGATCTCAGGTAGAATATAAGATTGCCAGAGGCTCAGCTCACCCTGTCATCAATTGAAAGATTTTCAACGACTTCTTCAACTTCTGAAGTTTCAAGAATATGGGCAGCATGCGCGGCACATCTTTGACCTTTCGCCTGGTTCGCAAGCTCCTGCAACTTGTCAATTTCAACCTATAGGGAATTTAACCAAAACATTAAGAAAATTAACTTAAAACAAAATTAAGTCACAAACGCTTTGCTTCACAAATAACATTATCAAAGCTGCGTCGGCAAGATAACATTTTTAGTACAGTTTAAATCTCTCTAATTTATACGGTCACACCATTATAGTTTTGTCCCCATATTTTTATCCAACGGTCAGAAAAACCTAGGAGCCTTTTCCAGTCAACCCACGTCTGTCTAGCCCTAATTTAGGCCAATAACAACCTATGTGCGAAAAAATTCCATTGAAAAGTTTTATTAGCTGAAGAAGAGGGTAGTTGCAACAAGCTTATGATCCTTCGGGTGGTTTTTTAATTCTTGTTGATGTCCAAATTCTTGTTCATGTCCAATTTAAACCAACCAACTCTTGTATAAAACATCATCATCATTTTATACTGTACGCACAATTTACTTAAAAAAAACTTCACGTTTTGTCCTTACTTGGAGAGAGAAAATGATTTATTTCTTTCCTTAGTTAAGAAAGATCTTAAAGTTCTCTTGAATTGTGTCATGGTTTTTATTTCTTTAATGCTAGCAGGCAGTATGTCCCATGTTTTTATAGCTGATTTCTGGAATATTTTTTGCTCTTCTGTTGTCACTCTTTCAACTTGAAAATCTGCTCTACTTTTCGCTCTTGCAGTCATTTTATGGTTGTTTTAAACAACAAGGAGAACAATTGTAGATTCTGGTCCCTCTTGTCTTGGCTTGAAAATCAACTTCAGTTGGTTAAACACAAGCTTTTCCTTCACACAAAGCCATTTTAAATTAGCTAGGTGGAAGTCAGGTATCCTTTCATGACAATCAAGACCATTCGAATGATAATATTCTGCTGTCTTTGCAATTGTTGAAGCCCTGTTACACGATCAGATTATTTCTTTAGATATTAATATGGTCAAACGGAGGAAGTCCATCTAATGTCCATCTAATGAATATCTGATAGAAATATCTGACCATATAACAAACAAAGCAGCAGCTAAAAAGGTGACGTACCTTAAACAATGTTTTTGATGACTTTGCAGCCAATTCTAAGGCTTTCTTGACATATGTTATAACCTTATCATACAAAGCTATTGCCTCTTTCAATTTTTTCCCGTTGTGGTACGACTGAGCTATGTAGTAGCACCTGGAAAATACAGAAAAATATTATTATCCCGAAGCCAAGTTGTTTAGCAGGGTAAAAATCTTATGTAAAAAGCATCGCGAATGCAATTAGATTGAAAGCTTTACCGTGCAAAGGGAATAAGGAAGTGGAGGAAGAAGAAAGGAAGAAGAACAAGACAAAGAGGGAGTAGATAAAGAAAATAAAACGAAAGAGGGTGGAGCAACAGAAGAAAAAAAAGACTTAGAAGAAGAAGAAGCATTGAAACCTATAGCTTGAACCTAGAAAAGAGTAGTACGGCGGAAAATCGTAAAGAAAACAAGGGAATTCCAGTTACCCAAACCATGACTTGTTTCATTCTAACTTGAGCAAGTTTACACAAGATTTAGCTGAAGAGCCGGCGGAAATTTAAAAAGTTTCTTTGACTCTGTTTCTAGCTTTTACTTTTGAGTGTTCCTCTAACTAGCAGCTGATCCCTTTTGTAGCTTAACTCACATATTCTTTTTACATTTATTCGATTTTTTATATAATTTGGGATTTCATTCGATATAATACTGTATACGATATAATATTTATACTGTATAAAACGAGGTAGATATTATTCGATAGAATCGGTTGTTTACAGATATGCGCCTGTAATAATCAAAATAAGTAACGAAATTGTTGTAAAAATTAAGGAAATTAAAATAGCTGTTAAAGAGCCTATTACATATTAATCGACGTACCCATTAAGAAAACAGCTCGTTGAACAACAGTAATTATTCAAGGACAGCAGATGCTGATGGTAAAGGAATAGAAATGTTTAAGATTTTCAAGACTAGAGAGTTTTGTCGAAGGTTTTTGAATTTCCTCAAAAATCATCAATTTTGCAATGACGCTGTCTCTTTCATGCTGTGTCTTTCTTTTATAGTAATCAAGAAAGCAACGGCTACAAAATCTGTCATCTAGATATTTATTGAAATCAATATTTTACCTGTACGCTTTGTATCCTGTCATCTGTGCATCCAACTCCAGCCTAAGATCTGCGTCATCCTCAAGTCCTGGTAGCTGACCTATTTCTACTAAACATTGCACAGTGACGTCATACATCTTCATTAAATCCTCCGGCTTGGTCTGCTTGCCTCGATTTGTTGACTTTGTATCACCAGCAATAAGGGATGGCAGCCTCGACTTCAATGTCTCAATGATAACCAAGTTACGTTCGATTGTCAAGGTTTGTCTCAAAAATGACAAATAAGTGTTGACAAAACGCAGGTTTGAAATGTTGGACTCATTCTTTTGTCCTTTTGGGCCCTGTGAAAGATACGGAAATAACATGAGAGGAAGGGAATGGTGGTGTTTTTTTAAACACATTCTCAGAAAATAAGTGTAACTATAAGATTTTAGTTGAAAATGATTCAAATCATGAAAGAATGATAGTTTTCCATCAAGGTCAGATACGCGTTTAGTATAACAAAGTTACAGACTAATCAAACACGAGCTCACAAAGTATTTACTCTTACTGTACTTTGCCGTAACTTTTACAAAAAGCCTAATGTAACAAAACTGGGAAGACTTTAAAAAGAAAAAAGAACCAGAGGTTGCAAAGTTGTAACTGAAATGGAACTATCAGCCAACGAGTTAATTTAGCAACCTGGCAGTCACCGACAGATGTAAGCTTACAAAGATGCAAGCATAACCAGAGGATGCCGAATCGCACTTGCTTGTGATGTCAAAATTTCAAGTGAATTTTGTTATGCAATGAAACGGAGTTCAGAAAGCTTGTCTCATTGTTTATTGACAAAATTAAGACAATAGAAAAAACTGCAAGTTTCAAACGAAGGATTTTCAAGATATTAAGAGGGTGCGGTGTCTCAAATAATCACATCTTAATACAACGTCACCAAAAAGCAAACTTACAGCTTCATAATTGAGATCTTCTTTGACAGCCTGAGAGGCCTCCTTGCAGTCCATGAGAAAGTTATCATAGAACTCGAGTTTCTCATCAGACGTAACACATCTTGTGATTTCTTCATCCTTTGTTTGGTTCCTCAGAATAAATGCACGCGCCTTTTCGGTCTTTACCGGCACTGTCTTTCCTCTCCATGTTACCTCACCAACAGTTGCTGATAACTTCTCTCTGGTCTGGCTGATTGCCGCCTTTAAAGACAAAAAAATCAATATCAAAATTGGACTTTTACAGTTGCGTAACGCAGTTTAATAACTTAGAGCCCGGGATGGAAACAGGGCCCTCCAAATTGTTTTTATATCCATGTTTTTATATCCAAAGTTCACCTTGCCTTCAAAAAGATCTTTAAGTAAGCAAATAACTCTGCTTTACAAACAACAAATGACAAGCCTTACACCCTTGGTAGGACATTCTGTTAGTCCACAAATAATGATTTTCTTTAGGGCCCCAGCTACCTCCGTTACGCCATTGGACTCTTACCACTTCAAAATAAAAATACAGTAAGCTAAGCATGCAACACATTACACCATTGTCACCAGGAAGAGTCTAAGGGGTAACCTTAGCAAAAAGACCTGGTTCCGGGATATGTATTAGCTTTAACCTCTTAAGGTGGTTTAAATATATATGATTTTGCTGTAAAATTTTACAAGAAAGCCTAGTTTTGCAAAGGAATCTGATTGTGTAATCTAACCGGCTCTTTATGTACATTGAAGCTTTTCGGACAAAGTGCAAAAAAATTAGATTTTTCTCTAAGGCAAAGCACAAAATCTATAATTTTAGATCACATCAAAATCGGTTCAGGAATTCACTGGTGGTTGTCTTGAGTAGCTTGAAACTTGGAAGCTGTGTACTTATTACCAAATGAAACTGGCAAACAAGCACTTTTTCTTATTTCCATTCATGAATATCTATAACTAACTAAACCGTAGGTCTAGATGAAGTTACATTAAAAAGGTAGGTTTACAAAATTTGTTTTCGGATACTGTACAAAGCAAGCTACCTTTCCATACAGAATTTAGCAGCATGTTTGAAAGTTTCTATGGACTTTAAAGTTTTGTTGTAAGCTGCAGTATTTTTAAGAAATATATATTGTGTCGGCCTTTAGATATAAAATATTATATGTTAATATAATATTTTATATTGCAATCTACATCAAAATGACTTGACATATAAGGGAGAGTATTATGTTCAGTCAGTTGGTCAAACAAGCTCTCTTTATGTGCTCAAAGAAAACAAAACTTCTAGACAAAGAACAGCTTTCACAATTAGATAATACTCACATCAATCTTAGCAATAAGCAGGTCCTGCCCAGCGGCACTCATTCGCAGCTTCACCAAGTCGTTAATATCAACACTTGTATCCCCAAGATTGTATGCACAGTATCTAATGTTAGGAGCAATTTCTTCCACTCTTTGCAAGTAAAGCATCTTTGTGTCATCAATGAACGCACTAGCAAGCTTTTCGTATATTGTCCTTGAATTAGAGAGATGGGGTGAAGCACATTGAGCTTGTAATTATGATCAGAACAGCAAAGATATGAATGCAAAGAAGTATGAAGACAAACATTAAAGTAAAAAGAAAGTAGAATTACAAAAAAGTAAAGTAGAAAGATTTCCATGCTTACTTAGAAGCACTCTATGAATTGGGAAACATTTTGACAAGAAATAAATAGCCCACCCAATAAATAGGTAGCTATTTTATAGGAAAAGGTCTGTGGAGGTGTGTTGCCTATTTCATAGAAAAGGCCTGTAGAAAAGACATGTTTCAACTCAATAAGTTGTTAAAAGGTTCCACTGAAAAAATGGGATTTTACTTATTTAATTATCTTAGAAGAAAGGCAAGACTAAGGAAAAGGCAGGCATTGGATTAAAAAATTATATTACCTTGCACTTCCATATAGATCAATAGCTGATTGCCAATCTTGAAGTTCAAATCTTTGATTGGCAGTCATCCAATATAAATACGCCTACAGGAATTATCAGTAAACAGTTGAAGTTTATGAGTCTGAAAAGAAGTTAAACTACAAAACAAAAGGCAATGCTTGTTATAACCCGTAACATCCGTATGAAATCTCACAGTTCCTCAAAAAGAAGTGAGCTGGCTGCTTCAAAAAATATAGCAAATCCCACATTCATAAACAGTATTAATGATATAAACAGTGCCAGACACCATAATTGTGTTGAACTTTACAATGTAAACAGCAATTTTCAATAAACTCATTACTCAGTTAAAAAATATTCATGTAACAAAAAGAAAGAATGCAGACCTCTGACTCGAGTTTCGTTCTTGCATCAACCTTGTCCATTTCACATAAAGAGTGAAGCTCCTCTGCATATGAAACAGCTTTATGCAGCTTCCGTGTCATGTGAAATTTTTTTCTTGGTTCTGTGTTGGCAAGCAATTTTAACTCCATAGCATAACTCCAAGATCTTTCAGCATTCATTAGTGGAATATAGAGATACCTAAAATGGCAAGTTTACATCTTATAATCAGTGTTGGGAAAACACCATAGAGATTGATGGAAGCTGCTATGAGAAGGAAGCTGGCATTCTTTGGTCCTTAAGTGAGGAGAGATGCATGGACAGATCTTTTTTATGCAAAGGAATTGCAAGAAAATAGATGTAGAGGAAGGCAGATGCTGGTTTGGCAGGATGGCACGAGAGAATCAACCAGGATAGTAGGACTGGAGAGTTACCATCAGGCAGAGGATAAAGAGTGGTGGCGATTGAATGTCAAGAGATGGGTGTGCCAATGGACTCTCCGATAACAGTCTTGATGATGAATCCTGAAAACCAGCATAATTAAAATATTCATAGCAACAACTGGGAAAGCAATTATCAGGATTTTGTCTTTCAACTTCTGACAGCTTTGCAAAATTTACCAGTTTTTAATATTTTTGAGATATCTGAAAAACACAAAACCTTAGAACAATCTTAGAAAATTTTATAAATTCATAAAAACAATGAAACAGGTTGTAAGAAACACAGAAAGAGTATTTGTTATTTTTGATCTTATCACTCTGAATGTTATAAGAGAAACTAGAAAAATAAAGACACTGAAACAAAACAAAATTTACCTGACACTATTAATGATTTCTTTTGTTAACTTTTTTCCCTTGTAACCATGTCTGGATCCAAGTTGGAAATGAAGTGAATGCCTGACTCTGGCTAGCCTCCTGGCACAATACTGCCTATGAATAAAGCACAGATTCAAGTGTCAGATTCCAGGGCAATACATGAGCTTACTGCATATAGAAATCCTAAGTGTACGGTGCTTCAGTTCATTGGCAACAAATTAATTCATGGTAATTCAATGCAAATAAACAACAGATCATTCAGACAAACGGGATTAAATGGATTTATTTCATTAGTTTTAAAGCCATAGCTATATAGAAAAATGTCTTAGAGACTATAGAAAGTGGAGTAACTGTTGTGATAAAAATTAATTTATTTCACACCAGAAGTGATAGAAATGACAGCTAATTGAGATGCTGTCCTTGAATTTTAGGTGCTTCTGTTTTTTAAGGAATCAATAATTTTCAAAGAAAAAACTCTGGGTGTAGTCTAGGCCCACTTCTTTTTTTAATTTCTTTTTCAGTTAACTTTTTAAATTTTAAAAACCACCATATGAATGCTGATGTTATACAATGAGTAATGTACAATTTATAATACCTGTATCTTTGGTAATCTCCATGTCGCAGTCCATGTCTTTGTTGTGCATCCTTTAATACTGGCAGGACTTTAATTGTGTTAAGAAAACAGAATTTGCAACAAAAGTTAAATCTTAGTTAAAGATTATTTAAGAAGACCATTTTAAAATTATTTGGTGTAAAGTCACAAATTCTAATAATTTATTTACAAAATCTGTCACTAATCCATAGTTCAAAATTGATAAAATCGGAGACATTGTTAATTTTTATATATGGATTAGCCGTCACTTGGATAAAAGATGTCTTGTAAAGAAGACTTGGGAAGCGCAGCTTGATAATAATGTAGATAATTAACACAGCAAAAATATTTTTGCATTCTCTTTCGACCAAGATCTGAATTATGCAAACAATCTTTTGGTGGTACAAAACTTGAAAAAAGCAAAAATTTTGTCTGACACTCTTCAGAGCATAAAACGTCAGAACATAGATTGAAAACTCTACGGTAGGAAATACATACTGCGTAGAGTTTTCGATCTATGTTCTGACGTTTTATACTCCGAAGAGTGTCAGATGGAAAGCTTTAGTGTACTCAAATGTTTGCTTCTTTCAAAGCCATTTTTAAGATCTAAATTCTAAATAAAATCTTAAAGTTTTATGTACCAGAAAGAGAAACAGGATTTCTTAGGCCCCGTTTCGGCCTGTCAAACCAGAACAGCTCTTTCCGTTACAAACCACTTATTGTATTTATCGTTGACTTACATTAAAACAAAGTGTTAAGTGAAAGATACTTTCTAATGTGAACAATTCGTCACTCTTGCTCTCCTCTACTTCTTCAAGTTCCTTTTCATCAGGGTTTCGCATCGTATCAATGGCTACTTCGGCGGCCATTTTGATACACGTTAAGGAACAATCAATCACTAGCCTCGATGCAAATTGCTTGAATCATATACGAGGCATATGATAAATGGCAGTGACAAATGGTAAACAGTAGACTGAAAATGGTTGACGAATCAAACGAAGTAAATGTTCCAAAGAAATCGAAGAAAAAACAAAAGTCGTTCTTTGTTCCTAACAGAGAAGCATATGATAGAATAAATTTCTTATACCAGGTGAAAAATTCAATCAGTCTTATTTGTCTACTTTTCACGTCACGTGAACCCGTTGTTTTTAAGCTTCAACTTCAAGAATAATATGCGATGTTCAAAATAACAAAAAGTAAAAGCAAAAAGGAATTCAATAGAATGTTTGTTTGGAACAACAAATATTTTATTATTCTAATCAGATGAAAGGTAGAATTTACTTTGAGTTTTATAAATTGAAATTTTTTCTTAAATTTACTCTGTATGGAAAAGGAAACACGGTGCTAAAGAGCGATGTTGGGCCGGAGCTGTACGGCTCATGCAAATTGTACGGCTCATGTCAAATATGTACGGCTCATGTCGAATTTTCAAAATCGATAAGCAAACACAAAACCGTAGCCAATGCACAATATTAATGTATCAAAATGTTCCCCTATCTTTCAAGAATAATTTCCAGTGTTTTTCGAACAGTTTAATCGCACAACTACCTAAAAATTTTCAAGAATACTACCACGACATCTTGCGATTCGCAAACAAATAATGGCTCCCACGGCTAAGTGTCGACCTAAGGTGGCTTCGAATATGGGGATTCCCTCTGTTCTAGCAACGAGCAAGTAACCTCAAAAACAGCAAGATTTCAACCAAAATAAAACCGTTTTTTACAAAATTATTATTGGATCCCCGTGCAATTCAACCTTTTTAACAAGTTTATTTAAAGATTTTAGAGTTCTGAGGGTTGCATTGATCACCCACCATGTTCGGGGTCGACACTTGGTTTCTGGCGGAGCTGGCTCCGTGTACGGCTCATGCAAGAACCGAAATTTCACGCTAACGGGTAAAGTTAAACCGTTTTTTACAAAATAAATGATGGATCCCCGTGCAATTAAACCCTTTTAACAAGTTTATTTAAAGATTTTAGAGTTCTGAGGGTTGCATTGATCACCCACCATGTTCGGGGTCGACATTTAGTTTCTGGCGGAGCTGGCTCCGTGTACGGCTCATGCAAGAACCGAAATTTCACGCTAACGGGTAAAGTTAAACAGTTTTTTACAAAATAAATGATGGATCCCCGTGCAATTACACCTTTTTAACAAGTTTATTTAAAGATTTTAGAGTTCTGAGGGTTGCATTAATCACCCACCATGTTCGGGGTCGACACTTAGTTTCTGGCGGAGCTGGCTCCGTGTACGGCTCATGCAAGAACCGAAAATTCACGCTAACGGGTGAAGTTAAACAGTTTTTTACAAAATAAATGATGGATCCCCGTGCAATTACACCTTTTTAACAAGTTTATTTAAAGATTTTAGAGTTCTGAGGGTTGCATTAATCACCCACCATGTTCGGGGTCGACACTTAGTTTCTGGCGGAGCTGGCTCCGTGTACGGCTCATGCAAGAACCGAAAATTCACGTTAACGGGTAAAGTTAAACAGTTTTTTACAAAATAAATGATGGATCCCCGTGCAATTCAACCTTTTTAACAAGTTTATTTAAAGATTTTAGGGTTTTGAGGGTTGCATTAATCACCCACCATGTTCGGGGTCGACACTTAGTTTCTGGCGGAGGGCGGAGCTGGCTCCGTGTACGGCTCATGCAAGAACCGAAAATTCACGCTAACGGGTGAAGTTAAACCGTTTTTTAGAAAATAAATGATGGATCCCCGTGCAATTCAACCTTTTTAACAAGTTTATTTAAAGATTTTAGAGTTCTGAGGGTTGCATTAATCACCCACCATGTTCGGGGTCGACACTTGGTTTCTGGCGGAGCTGGCTCCGTGTACGGCTCATGCAAGAACCGAAAATTCACGTTAACGGGTGAAGTTAAACCGTTTTTTAGAAAATAAATGATGGATCCCCGTGCAATTACACCTTTTTAACAAGTTTATTTAAAGATTTTAGGGTTTTGAGGGTTGGGTTAATCACCCACCATGTTCGGGGAGAATAATCAACTGCGAAAAACTTTTGAAAAGACAGGAAAGTGAAACAAGTAAATGCATGCATGATCAATATTCTTTATTAAGAAGAGAAATACATGAGTTAGATGATAAAAAGTGTTTGTAGAATAAGTCTTTTCAATTCTAATAAAGTTATATATAACTACGATCGTCGATAAATTCGTCGATAACAATTCGATAACTACATTTGCAATCGTCGATAACTTCGCGTTGCTACCTCCAAAGATATACATGGAAGAATTTCGTTTTCGCTCTTCCAGTTCTACTTACAACTATTTGAGAAACAGTTCATTTAGTGACATTCTCTTTGCGACTTTTAATAACACGTATGTACAAAAAGCAGCAATATTATATCAAACTTCATCGAAATTTGTTGGCAAAAACTGTAAAATCTAGAAAACCTGCCAAAAGTCTCTGTTACCGGAGTAATGCTTTGAAAAAATAACATGGTCCTGGTAAGATGACGGACACTGCAAGCTCTTCCTCCAAAACAATTTTGGCTATAAAGTACAATGTTTTAGACATCTGAAAGGCATTCATTAGACAGCACAAAACCATTTAATATTGCCTAAACCAACACTTTTCGGTGGAGGAGAGTGAGAATCAACAGCAGACAATCATAAATTTATTTTCTGCTTCAAAGACTTTTAGCAGGTATTGTTCTTGGGTTAATATCCCATACCAAAATACAATGATTTTACATAAAGCTAACCATCTAAATACAAGAAGCATTTGATTAATCTTGCTGTACCAGTTTGACGAAAGATACTGCATTTCCCACCAGTTAACAATCACTTTCGTTTGACGATGAGCTATCTTTTGGACGTATAGATTTGACTTTGTCAAGAAGTTCCTTAAAACTTGGTTTTTTGACAGTTTTTTTCTTACATGGCCGTTTTTTTCTAGTTGTTGCCTTAACACCCCGCTTTGCCTTTTTGTGCGATCTCTCTAGCAATGTCATGTTGTCATATTCATCGCTGTCACTCAAAACACGTTTAATTGGACGTTTCAATTTCTTGCATTTTCTACATAGCCATGGGGATGAGTGAATATCTTCTTCGCAATCACAGCGATACCAAGATTTGCAAGAGGAACAACAAATCATTTTAGTTTTCATGTCAGGCAAGTTGCAGTGGCAATAAAAAGAAGGTTTAATGATGAATTTAGTTCCTGACGACTCTCTGGGAGAGTTAACAAATTGTATGCCTTCAAATGTTTTGCTTCTTAAAGCTTTAATGAGATGTTTTCTCAAGTTCTTTAAATTGAAATATGTTACTTGAGGGTCCATTTTGCGACATAAACATAGTGCAAAGAATATGGCAGCTATTCCGCTATCTGAATCTCTAAGACTGGAAACCGTATCAGCAACATGAATCTCAAATTTGTCGTTTTTTGGATGCCTAAGCCTTGCTGCATAAGCCTCGATCGAAATATCATATTTGCATTCTCTTTTATTATTCGAAAGATGATTCCTTAAAAGGCTGTCATACAAGTGGATTTGTTTATCTGAAGATACCATATTTGATAAAGTTCCCCAATCAGTATATTTTTTGGAATCATTTAGTGGTATAATTTGTATAAACCTATTGCCAGAGCCCCAAACAGTCAATAAGTCAGATATTTGATGGAGTCCTTCCACATTTTGGAATTCGCGCCGCATTACACCCATGGCAGCATTGATAATCGAAGAGGATACTGGCAAACCCAAATCAATATCATGCAGATGATTTTCGTTGAGATCAAAGGGTGCATGATCGGACGATGTAACCTTATTTTCACTTGAAAATGACGTAACATGTACGAAATCATGTCCGCAACCACTACCTGTATTTTCGTCAAACCTCTTAGCTGTTCCGGCTTCGTCGTTGGTAACAAAAACAATACTATCATCTATGTTATCGGCAAGAATGCTGTTTTCTGTTATTTGAAAAAATTCTTCATTTGTTGAAATTGCAGTGTAACTTTGGTTAGGAGAAGGTAATTTCGAGGAAGCCCTACTGCTGTCCTTACCTCTATTGACACCACTGGGCGAGGAAGTCCAATTCTTTGCACTGCCCTCATGCAAGAATCCATTGACAAATTCTTCGTAATCAGGGACTAAAGCAGGCTCTTCAAAAGTCAAAAAATTAGATTGTGCCTCGTTGGGTCCCTTGTTGGAATCATTGGATCGCATTGATTCGAAGAATTTGTCATTGGAATCTTGTCTGTCACTGCATTTATCTCTTGTCAAATCAGAATAATCCCTCCCTTTTCCACTTGTATGGCAAAATATTGCGCGTCCAAAGAGGTCATACCTAACGTTGAGTTTGGTCCTTTTTTCCATTTCTGAAACGACAACTAGATTTCTAGATTCATTCACTAAATCAATAATCGAGCGAAACATGAAAATGTGGTTGGATGGTGACATTTTATTTAAAAAATACCTGTTTAAATTAAACGAGCCGTGGATTTGCTCTGCAACCTGACTATTGATTTGACGTGAATTTTCGGTTCTTGCATGAGCCGTACACGGAGCCAGCTCCGCCAGAAACCAAGTGTCGACCCCGAACATCGTGGGTGATTAATGCAACCCTCAGAACTCTAAAATCTTTAAATAAACTTGTTAAAAAGGTTGAATTGCACGGGGATCCATCATTTATTTTGCAAAAAACTGTTTAACTTTACCCGTTAACGTGATTTTTCGGTTCTTGCATGAGCCGTACACGGAGCCAGCTCCGCCAGAAACTAAGTGTCGACCCCGAACATGGTGGGTGATTAATGCAACCCTCAGAACTCTATAATCTTTAAATAAACTTGTTAAAAAGGTTGAATTGCACGGGGATCCATCGTTTATTTTCTAAAAAACGGTTTAACTTCACCCGTTAACGTGAATTTTCGGTTCTTGCATGAGCCGTACACGGAGCCAGCTCCGCCAGAAACTAAGTGTCGACCCCGAACATGGTGGGTGATCAATGCAACCCTCAGAACTCTAAAATCTTTAAATAAACTTGTTAAAAAGGTTGAATTGCACGGGGATCCAATAATAATTTTGTAAAAAACGGTTTTATTTTGGTTGAAATCTTGCTGTTTTTGAGGTTACTTGCTCGTTGCTAGAACAGAGGGAATCCCCATATTCGAAGCCACCTTAGGTCGACACTTAGCCGTGGGAGCCATTATTTGTTTGCGAATCGCAAGATGTCGTGGTAGTATTCTTGAAAATTCTTAGGTAGTTGTGCGATTAAACTGTTCGAAAAACACTGGAAATTATTCTTGAAAGATAGGGGAACATTTTGATACATTAATATTGTGCATTGGCTACGGTTTTGTGTTTGCTTATCGATTTTGAAAATTTGACATGAGCCGTACATATTTGACATGAGCCGTACAATTTGCATGAGCCGTACAGCTCCGGCCCACTATGGCTGGTGCTAAACAGTACAAGGGAGCCTTTTTAAAAGCAATATTTATATGATTAGGAAGATCAATGAAGATCTAACAGAATTTAGATATGTTGGTTATGTTGATGAACAAGCTACAAGCCGCTATCTTGACGTAATCCCCATGCCGCTATCAACCCAAGGGTGTATTCAATGTACTTAGGCCCGAAGATCTTCGGCGTACAACCAGGTGTTTTTCGGCGTTCGGCGTGCAAACCAATAAATATTTTTTTGGCCTACTTAAAATTTTCGTTAGTTGGCATGCTAAAAATGAAGCCATGTACATTAACGTAAAACAAAGGCTCATACACCAAATTTTTCTTTAATAATCAGTTTTCTTTGTCTGGCGCAACAATGTTTACTGTTTTACTAACTCAACTGCTTTTATATTTTTGGCGTACCTAAAGAAATGCCCCGGTGGACCGGTCTGCAGAGTGTGGCACTTTTCGACGAGATCTCCGGTGTGCACGAGCAAAAAGCCTGGTGTGCCGGTGTGCACCACCAAAAATGGCTGGTGTGCTGGTGTGCACCAACTATTTTCCCCAGCTATGGTTAAAATTTTGAATTTGCATTTCACCGTAAAAATGCGTGTGAAGTATACTGTTAAAGATAGCGCAAGTTTTTTTTTTGTATATTTTTCAAGTAAGATTCATGATATCTCAAATTGTTCATACACGACTGTGATTGTTTTTATCAGCTGTCATTTTCTATGCAACCACACCAAGCCACACCAATCTTTTTGGCCACACCCAAAAATACCCGGTGTGCAACAGGTTTTGCACAAAAATATCTCCGGTGTGCACATGCCAAACTCTGCAGACTGGCCGGTGGACCTTTGGCGTACGGTTGACATGGAATGTACCCTGGTATCAACCAAAACCCCTGAAATTTGGTCAAGTCTAATCCTTATTTTTTATTTTTAGAGCAAATGAAAATTATGTAATGTAGTGTTTTTAACTCTTGAGTAATATCCCTCATTCTGATTTTTTTACAGGCAGCACACTTGACACTTTCACAAAACCCGGAAAATGTAGAATTGTCAAGATTCTACATATCAACAGCAAAAAAAATAACGGAAAAACTTGTACTAAAAATGTATGTTATATGCCAAGAATTTTTTATATCCTTGTTGTATAAATACTAACAGATACAATAGAATTAGTAATTTTATTTTAACTTGTTTTGTTGGATATCTAATGCTATAAGTAAGTTACCAGAAGATAGATAAAATATTTTGAAAGAACTTGATGATATCTACAGATCATGAGTTGATTGATCATGTTAGATGAGACTGGATCTTGATGGAATTATCAAGCTGGACATGAGAACTACTGTTGACCAATCATAAATTGCTCTAATTATCTATAATTTGCCAAAAGGGAAGACGGAGAGTGCCAATGACAGGTGTGGTGTGGATATGAAGGCTTTGAATAAGTGTATTAATGCTCAGAATAAAAAAAATGTTGCGTTTGTAGGCTCTGCAAGACTTAGGAAAATCCCTGAAAATTGCAATCTACGACCTGAGCATTAATATCTGAGTTTCTTAATTACTACTCCAAGTTTTACACTTACTGCAATCATCATGTTTTTATGATCACAGCTGCCTGAATGATGTCATTGCTGACTAATAATATTTGGTATTAAGGCTGATTTTGTTTGATATTTTCTTGAAGTGATCCCAAAATCAAAAGGACAATATGCAAGTGCTGTCATGCTCTTCTTATTCCTGGAATCACATCAACACACCGTTTGCAAGGTTTGAATCTATAATCCAGCTATTTTTACTCATTTGCTATATGTGTTTTGGCTATCTCATAAGGTCATGTTTGAATCTATGGTTGAAGTGTCTTGAACCCTCAACTTTAAAATTCTCTTTGATTCGGGCTCTTTGAAACGTTCAGGCTCTTTGATTAAATCCCGAACTGTTGTTTATCTATTTTCTCCCTTTTCCACAGGTAAAAGAGAGAAACATATGGTTGTGTCTTGTTTGACATGTAAGACAGTAAAGCGTTGGAGGACTAGTAAATGTAATGTTAGTAAGGATGAAGCTTTGGAATTGGATGAAAAATAATATTAGTTTTTTTTCTATGAGTAATATTATTAATTGTTTGTATCCAAAAAATAGTCTCAATAAAGACTCTTTTAGCCCATGTTATCACTGCATATATTTTTGTCAGACTTTTGATATGGCTTGCAGTTTTACCCGTGAATAAATCATTGACTATTCACTGAAGATCTTCAAGATAATAAAGAATAAGATGATGGCAATAGCCCTATATCTTCATTAAACAATAGACCTCTGGACATAGTTGTAGCCTCGTAGCGGAGTGGATGCTAATCGTGATGGATCTTGCCCTTATATCGTCGTTTAATTAAGGTAAAGCTGCACAAATTGAGCCTGTAATACCATAAATTTTGCTGTTTTGGGAGGGCCGCAGCCCCATCTCTCCTATGCCTATTTCTGTGGGAAAAAGTTCGTCTTATGCTTCTAGCGTCGTGTGTCACTTTTTCTACGATATTCCATCGACAAAATCAACATCAGCATCTATCTCTTCTCATCTGTAATGCATTGGCGTGATCTTAATATTAACCCAAGCGTATACTAATTGTTATTGTTTTCCGCTAATAGCTTATGCTTATAACCACTTGCTAAAGGTCTCTAATAGCTTTTGATTAACAGAGTTCGCTGAAACACGTTGTCTGTCTTTTGCTTCAAACTCTCTCTCTGTTGAACCCAAATTCGCAACACATCAAACCTACGTTCAGGATTATCAGGGAGGCGGGATTAATTTGTCAAAACATAGAGAAAAGGCGGGATCATTAGTGCAGCAGGAATATTGGGGAGGGCGGGAATACAAGAGAGAATACGGTATTTACAGATAACGGAAAAGCGCAGTGGTCCAAGACACCAGCCTTGAGGTACCTCCTTCTAATCGTGAGCAAATGAGTGGTTTGGTTATCCTTATTGTCTCTTACTAAAGGCGTATTTGATATCATTTTTATCAGCTTTAACTTTGAAATGATCCTCAAAATATCTTCTGATGGTTTTATGTTTTTTGAAATCTTATTTTGTTTCTGTCTACGCTGAACTGATATGAAACATGAACAAGGAACGGACCCCGGTTGGCTACGAGGCCCGTGAATTTATCACAAAATGGCCGCCGAAGTGGATCTTGCAAAATTTGACGACGTTTTCTTAGGGATTTTACAGCATTTGGGAAGAATTGAGCCTTTTCTGGAGGCAATATTCTTCTTCCTTGCTAGGAGAACGGACTTTTTCAAACTAATGCATAACAGAGAAGATAAAATGGGTTTTCCACCAGGCGTTGCAAAACAGATCGTGACAAGGGTAAAAACAATACGTTTTCTATTCAATCCATTGCGTCTAACGTATTGCCTTCTTTATTTAATAAACCTCGACTGTTAAAGAAGACATATTTTCGTTATGAAATAACAATAATGGCAGATAAAAACCTTTGCATTAATGAAAAACATACTGCAAAGCTTGGGTTAACCCGTATATGCGATTGGCATGAAAATAAACTTTGATGGTGTCAGAAAATATGCAAAATAAACAAACAATCAGATGTTCTGAGATGCTCAAAAATTTATTCTGAAAAAATCTTCTGCAAATTTTGGTTTTTGAAATGGAGCAAAAAATTATCAAGCAACATCATATATAACGTTTTAGAATCAGATGAAGTAAAGAACATACCCATGAGATTTTTTATTTGAATAATTTAATATCAAGAAAGATTGTAAAAATGGTTTGAATTTTACCTTGATTTGTTGGACTAGTATTTGTACTAGATATATTGTATTTTTTATAAATGTTTTTATGACTCTAAAACTTCCAACAAGGTAACAAAAAAGTGGATCCCTAAAGTGCAGACTAGCCAAAATCTATTCTATTTTTTTAGATATTTGAGAAGTATCAGAAATTAGTTCTTGGAAATGAGCAGGAGAGAAGTAAAGTAGAAAAAACAAAGTCCCCTCAAAAGAAAACAAAAGCGGCACCAGTAGAACCTGCAAAAGTTCCTGATGCTGCCAAAATTGTAGAGGTAGAAACAAGTTTAGCTGAAAAAGCTGAGTCTACAAAACCAAAGGATCCAGAAGATAAAGTTAAGAATGTGGGTGATGATGACAGCCTTACTGCCAGAAATACAAAAGAAAAAAAGACCGAACAGCAGACAACTTCAGAAGGGTGAGTGATCCCTATTAAACAAAATGGCTAATATTGTTTAAATAAATGATAATTTTTCAATTATTTATATCAGTTTTCATCATAAGGAAATCACCATGCATGTGGTAAACCACACTCATTATTTTTCTTTTATGCGTGCGATTCACACTCTTAAGAAACGTTCAAAAACAGAACCGCGATGGTGCAAAATTCATTCTTTTTCGTAACAGGGTCAAAACTATTCTGGATGGCAGAGCAAAATTATCTCCGTTCCAGAGTGCTAGCATAAACAAAAGGGCAAACTGCGATTGTTTTGTCACGGTTCCAAACTTGCACACAGGGCTGCAACGAGGATTTGGAGGCCCTAGGGCAAAGTGGAAAACTAGGCCCCTGCAAGCAAAGCGAGCAAAACAATTTTGCGAACATGCCCTTTATATTAGCTTAAATTTGTTCATTCACTTAAAATGTTTTACTGTTTATAGACATAATTTTTTAAACTCTTAATCAATTTTATTTCAAAACAGAATTCATTACTTTATATGGCCCCCTACACTTGAGGCCCTCTGCTTGAGTGTTTCTGCTTTGTTCATTCTGAGAACATTTGACATTACAGGACAACTATAGGGAAATATTGATTGATACAGTGGCATAGATTAAGGGGGGTCAAGGGGCAGGGCAAACCTCCCCCTTATACAGCTAAACTGCTAGCTGTTTTGTCGGAAAACTTCTGATCTGATCGGAAATTTACGTGGTTTTCTATTTTATTCCAAATGTTAAATTTTGAGAGAAAATGTTTTAAAGCTGAATATGGTGATCTTTTCTGTTGTTCTGAATCAGATTGGCAATCTCTTTCAATAAGGTATAGAACTTTAAAATGCCTTTTTTAGAGGGAAAGACAAGAAGAATCTTCGACTAGCATGATGTATGACATGTGACTTATGTGAAGTTGTGTACAAATTTTTGAAAAATAAAGGCTCTTATGAAATTTTTGTTGGAAATTCCAAATTTCTCGCCCCTTTTATGAATTTTTCTATCTTCATCACTAGATTGATATTAACCTTGATTGTTGGAAGATATTCTTTTTGCAGGTCTATTTTTTGCCTGCCTCTCGCATCTATGATAAACAAGCCCATTTTCTTTTGAGCAATTTTATCGATATTTACCCTGATAATAGCGAAAACGGGAACAAGGTAAAAGTTGAATAAATGACAAAGACTGATATATGCTATCTTTCTGTTGGTGCCTTACACAGATCTGGCCTGATGGCCAGTATTTTCTTTTTGCTTTTAACACTTGCAGTTTTTCCTATAACCAGACAAAATTTTAGATTTTTTATGAATGTTCTTGCAACATTACATTTATATTCAATGCTGGCCACCAGTAATAGGTTTCAAGCCCTTTTTTATGTATAACACATCCAAATGTTATCCAAATGGCCTTGCTCAGCAATATGATAAGGCTTCTACGCACATGTATTGTGCTCAAACTTCTTCTTCATTGGTAAAATGCAAGTTCCAAACTAAAAGAAATGGAAAGTTTTTCTGAGTAGCTACACTTCTAAAGCATGTAACTTTTTCTGCTCGTCTTTAGATGTTTCAGTTTCCATAACCATGCACAAGAGCTATTCCACTAGTAATCAGGTATTTTGCAAGAAAATATTTAACAATAACATTAATATTATGGGCTCCTCTTCACATTTTATGTTTTGCAAATTTTAGAATGAAAGGCAAGGCAGTTGCACATCAAGATGCTGATTCTTTCAATGGAGCAGTCACTGACAAATACTCATGGGCACAAACACACATTGATGTTGATGTTAAAGTTCCTATCCCAGATTTTGTCAAGAAATCTAAAGATATAGAAGTTGAAATAAAGCCAGATAAACTGAGGATATCACTGAAGAACAATCCCCCAGTTGGTAAATATATATCATAAGATTATTCATTTTGTATTTCAATTTTTATAGAATTGTTCTTGAATTATCATTGTATCCTCATTTTAATCTCCAGTTTGCTTTTTTATAATAGGGAAGGGTTGCTTATTTTTGTAACTTATCTTGGAAAACAATCTCTCATTGTCTCTCGTTGGAAAACAACAATTTTTGCTCAAACAAAAGGTTTAGTCCGACAATCAAATTTCAATCATAATTTATCCTTTTTATTATAATACCTTATTTTTATGGAAGTCATTTGTATGACAAGTAGGGGTAATCAAAGCAATAAGGTTCACTGCATTTTTCTTAAATGCAAATGATTTAGTTTTTAAGGGAGTGAGTCACATTTTTTATATTTTCCAAAGAAAATAGCAATGTTAGAAGGATTTTAATGCTGGCATGCACAAAGGGAACATTCTGCAATATAAAAAACATTGTTTTAAAAGTATGCAGAAACTCACATACATCACTACTTAACTCCTTGACTGTCTGTGGCACCACTGTTTGTGATATCAGGCCCTGCAAGGAGAGTGGCTTTAGCTCTATCAAACACCTCCACATGCACTTAGAAAGTTCTAGGAGCTTGATTGATCAACCATCTAGCGTGTAAATGATCTTTAAAAATTGAATGCGCAAAACCAAACTTTGTTTTTGATAATATTTGATGATGCTCAATCGAGCACCTACAAAGTTGAAGATGCTCAGTTTGTCAAGTGCTTGCTTTTTGCTCCTCACGAGGCCTGTCTTGACAAAGTTGTATATGCTCAGCTTGTCAAGTGCTTGTCTTTTGCTCCTCACAAGGCCTGTCTGATATGTGTATCAAATGGCATGATTTTAAAAGGGTGCAGAAACCCACATACTCCACCTCTTCACTTCTTGACTCCCCACTGTTTGTGATATGCACCAAATTGACTGCACCTTTTTGCTATTGGTGTTTGCATTTTACAGACTCTGGTTTCACAAGCAAGCTTATTGTTGATGGGAAATTTACACAGCGAATAAGAGATGAAGAAAGTATTTGGAGTCTTGTTCCTGGTGAATGCATACAGATTCATATTGAAAAGACAAAGGAAGTTTTTTGGACTGCTCTATTGCAAGGTGAGCCTGAAATCGACAAAACGCAATTGGACACAACAAGAGACGTTTCTGAATTTGATGAACAAACTCAAGCAGATTTTCAGAAAGTCATGTACGATCATCGCCAGAAGATTCAAGGAAAACCAACTAGTGAAGAACAGGTAAAGCAAATTGAAACATTTCAACTTTCACAATCAATATTTTCCCATGTGATTCAATGTGATCTGCCAAGTATTGAATGAAAATTTGTTTATTGGCTTATTACATTTACTTTGGAATTATAAATTTGGAATTTATTTAACATAATTTGCCTCACTTTATCTGTGACCAGATTGACAGCTTATTCAGAGGCTGAATTTAGTTGCTCGACAACAGCTCTTTGAGATGGTACACAGTCTGCCAAAGCCTCTTACATCACTGCAGCTCTTGGTGATCTTCATGAAAAGATTGCTAGTGTTTCTAATCATTATGCTTTCTTATTTTCTTTTCATGCTTTCTCCCACTTGAATTACCACTGACAGCCTAACGATTGGCCCAGGGGTAGCTGTCTGAATTACCACTGGCCTCATTCAGTGTAGCAGGTACTGCTGAGGTACTGGGTGAACCAATGGATGCTTTGGGTCTACCAACAAATGCTCAAAGTGTCAGCGGCTTTTCTTACTCTCCCTATATAAAGTTACTTATTTACCAGGAAATGATCATTGTACTGCTGTGTGTGTATTGAATTAAGTTCTTGAGTAAACAGCAAGCAAAGCACAGCTTCTTTCCAAAACTCTAACTGTCCATTTTCCAAATAAAGAAAATTAAACTTTAAAATATTAAATCATTGCAACCCAATATCTAGGTGCTTTACACCTAAACATTCTACAGCAGAACAGAAAAGATTTAATTTGATTATTTTAACTTTTCATACTGGAAATTTGAAGCTAAAATGTTTGTTATTAGGTCTTATTATTTAGAGTCAATGCTGTTTCTATTTGGCCTAAATATGACTACATCTTTTACATAGAAAACACATGAACTATTGAAGCAAGCATGGGATGCAGAGGGCTCACCATTCAAAGGCACACCATTTGATCCTTCAAGTGTCAACATTTCCAGCTGAGAAGAACAGGGATAAAATTATCTTCCTTCAAAGTCTTTATCCAAATCTCTAAAGGAATCTTTGATGGTTTATCTTACCTCAGAATTGTTTGATTTTTCAACCAACAAAGTTGAAGTTCACCATGGTTGGTGCTGTTTTGGTCTGAAGACATCCAACCTTCCTTTGTTATGGAGGACTGAACACATTGGATTATGAAAACTGTTGACATTTGGGGGAAAGATTATGTTACTTTCTAATCAATGAAAAATTTTGGCAGCACTAGGTTCATGCGCTTGTATAGGGAAATAGATCTTTAATGGCATCAAGCAAATTTGAATGTGACATGTCAATCTAGGCCATTAATATTACATGCTGAAATAACATTGCTTTGTTAGAGGTATGCAAAGAGTGCCTACTTGTAAAGATTAATCTTCTTCCCATAAATTTGTTGTCTTTTGTTTAAAACTGCAGTTGGTTAAGCTCTCTTATATTTTAAAATCCTAGTTTTGGTATATATAAAGGCAAGCTTGTCGTTCTTTCAAAATTCTAAATGTTTTACCTTTGAGGAGATTTGATCTAAAAAGGCATATCTAGTATGCTTAGACATTGCTCCACGTTAAAAATCAGCATGGAAGTTCACATTGTAAAAATGGGTCTAATGGTACTAACAAGTAGCCTGTGACTAAGCCATGGGAACCAACATTAATGAAACCAACTAAAACACATTCTTTGAACTTCTGCTCAAGCTTTAAACCATGATTTTTAAGTAAACAAGTGAGTTGTGATGGTACCAGAGTCCGGAGGGAATTTTGTTTGAATTATAAATAAAGATTGTTTATGTGGTCAAAATTATTTAAATTAATATTTTGATTGTACCTCTTTTTGTTATTATCATATTATGGATAATTCAAAACACTGAAAGAACCCAGCATTGGTTGTACAAAGTGCCCAGCATTGATTGTACTGAGACAACAAAAGATTTGTTGAAGTGACTAAAGGAAATCTGAAGCATTCACTCTATGGAATACATAAGTTAAAAAAGTTTTTGAAGTAAAAATTTTGGATATTCTTTTTTAACATAAAGTTTTTTGACAGTTAGAGAGATTCTAGATAAAATTTCGGAACCAATTTTGAAAAGGTTTATCTCATTTCATTGTATTTTGGCATTTTTTAGACTCAATGTGTTTGTAAAATATTCTTTTTAAAGAAGAAGCATGTAAAGTTGATATATTTTTTCAAAATTTTTTCCCCAAAATTATCAGAATATAACTTTTATGGGGCATACAACCATGTGTGTGACAAAGAGGGAAAGGCAAAATAGACCAAAACCAATGAAATACATATTAGAAGAATATTTCTTATGTTGAGTTATAACTTTGATCATTATTAGCTGCCAATGTTGTTTGCTTACTTGCCTTGTGTTTCTATTTTCAAAAAGAGTAGAGTTAAACATCTCAAGCAAAAAAATTCTGAAATCTTTGTCTGAAATTTTTTTATGTCCAAGATTTTTTGTAATCAACATTCTGTGGATCGAAAAATAATATCTACAAGACAAGACATGTAAAAGTTGTTCCAAATGACATTTTTGGTAAAATCAAAGGGACATTGAAGGCTGCTACATCAGGCTTTCAACCAAACAAATTTTATACACTTTCTGATGCAACTGACTGTGGTAACACTAGAAGTGCTGGAGCTGATTTGACATTTCCAATTTTTACAGTTTTGCTGATCAAATAACTGTAAATAAAACAATCTTTTTTACTATATTTGTAACTGACTAAGATACAAGCATTGTTTTATAATATTCACATGGTCCAAACACTTGGTAACCACACTGGTAAACTTAATCAATCAATATTTTATACAGTTATGTAATGTCATTTCTTTGTTTAGATTGTAGTTTTGTATTAAGTGTTTTTAATTTAATTGTATTCAAACAATCTTTTGGTGGTACAAAACTTGTAAATGGCTTTGAAAAAAGCAAACATTTAGTAAACTAAAGCTTTTCGTCTGACACTCTTCAGAGTTTAAAATGTCAGAACATAGATCGTAAAACTCTACGCTAAGAAATATATATACCCGGTATAAAAATATATATACCTAGAAACAACACTTTCTCGAGAGTTTTAAGTAAATTCAGGAAAACTTGGTGAGATGGGAAGAAAAAAACATGTAGACAGTAAAATATGTTTCATTTGCAATATATCAGTACAGGTTCAACAAATGTAACAAACAAATTGTGAGAACGTTTATAGGAACCACACTATTCAAAATAAGGAGATTATTCATTGCCTTGAGCAAGTTACCTGTAGGAATGCTAACAAAAATATGAGCTGCCATGAGAATTTTTCAAAAGGGAATAGGAATTATGCTATTGCTAATGCTGTAAAAACAGGCCTTAAAAAGAAGGTAAGGCCAGGAAACAGAATACAATAGAACACAGACCCAAATATTGTGCAGGAACTTTGAGCAAGAAATACATGCTATAAAGCTCAGCCAATCATCTAGTCATCGCAAATTTACATGTTGATAGTCTCAAAGGAAGTGAGAGACATGGTCAAGCATTTCTTGGGTATAGAATGTACCAATAGTTGGCAGAATTACTGTGGCTACTGAATCAATTGAAAAAATCTTGCTTTTAACTTTGCTAATAACAATGAAAGGAAAGAGCCATGCCCCTTCACATTAATGTTTTCTTTTGTAGCATTGTCACTCTAATTAAGCAAACTGGTGATAATTGTCTGAAAAAACTTTAGTGTTCAACGCCTAGTTTGGTCTTCAACAGCTCAACAGCATCATTCACTGTGAAGATCTTTTCTGCCTCTTCATCTGATATTTCACAGCCTAGGGAAGCAAGTTATAAAAACATTAATTTGTTTTTAAAAATATGTATTTATATTTATTTCAAAATGGAACTTTACATACAGCATGTTTTCAGTTCAATAACTTCAAATGTTTCACTTGTGAAGGAAATGAATCCTGCAGATGGCACCAAAATCCAGGCCTACATTTTACTCCTAGACTGTTTGGTCTTCATAGGGAACAAATTTTCCGCACAATAATCTTCATCTTTCATGCCACTGTTGCATTATTTAAAAACCGTCATAGAGTCGGTGCATTATAATTGTTTAGCTGGTCATGCGCCCTGCCAATATTCTTCAATTCAAACTTCTGACTTTTGATGACAGAAAAAAAAACAAAAGCAAGATCTTTTTGCTACAAATAGCTGTGTGTAATTTCTCACGAAGCATTCATTTTCTGCAAATTTGAATTTATTGTTCTGGCATTCTTCAAACAGAAAAGAATACTTCTGGCATTTTGCATCTAGCAGTTCTTCCAACATCAAAAATGGACATAGACAATCATTAGATGCAATTTGCCAATTTGCAGGGCTGGAGCCCCCCAATCATTGTCAAACTGTAGCATATTGCCTTTATAACAATTTGCTGAATGAGAAGGAATACATGGGCAGCCCCCCCCCCCCTCCAAATATGAATTTCATTTGATGGTACTGATTTGTTTTGGAATTTTTTACTAAGCTTCTGAAGGGAGTTTGAAGAAATAACAGAAAGCATTCAACAATCACACAAACAAAAATTTGAAAATATGTTGAAAAATATTTCTTACCAAATTCATCTTCAAAAGCCATTACAACTTCAACAACATCTAAGCTATCCAGACCAAGATCATTTATAAAATGTGCCTCTGGGGTAACCTGGAAAAACACAATATCCCAGTTAAAAATACATCTATAAGAAAAAAGTAATTTTTTCGATTTTCTTTCGGGTAAATGCTGCAAAAAATTAAAGCAAGAAAAATCATAGATTAAAAGCCGCATAACATAATAAAAGTTACTTTACAAAAATAAAATATTATATAATATTGAGAAAATTACATACCAGAACAATTTTATGTCTTAGTTAATCATCTTACTACAAATTCAAGATTACTTGTCCTACACAGTTGTTCAAATTCTATTTCGAACTTTAGGTATATTAACGACTAACATAAAATGTTCTCTACTTGCAACTTCTCACCTGACAGCACACGACTGACTAGGTGGGTGGCCTAAAATTTGGTAGTGTAGTACTGCTTTCTAAAATTTTTCTCAAATGAACTGGTAGTGTTGCTAATAAAAAAATTCACGCAATAATTTATATTCCTACCTTCGAAGGGTCTATTTTATCAAATAATTTCAGCACACTCAAGCTCATGTCCCTTAATTCTTCGACAGTTTTGATAGGATAGTCTCCATACAGTCTTGTCGGTTGATTCCATTTATTTGTAGCAAAGGCGATCTGAGGTGCTCGACTTACAAGTGAGCACAACTGTCTAGGCCTAAGATTGTAGGAAAATAATGCTTTTTGGCCTATACTGAGCTGTGTAGTCAGCATACGTCGGGCAAAGTTGCAGCAAGCTCGTGTGGCAGCCATTTTCACCACGAGAAAGGATCAGACCTCGATGCTGCAAAGCATTTTGGGTATACGGTTTTCGGAGCGGATGAAACATCTATGCAGATTTGCTATCCATTAAAGTACCAAAAAATTCGGTGCCAAAAATTTCTGTGGATTACTTTTGGGTGGAAAATATTTCGATCATATTTTTAAAATTTCGGCGTAAATTTCGGCTAAAAATTTCAACATTTCCGGTGGAAAGAAAATATTTCGGTGAGTAAAGAAATGAAATACTGTACTTTCTGCAATTTATTTCTATAATCGACATGGAATTATTATCTGGAACTCAATCATGAAAGCTACAAAAATCTAATATTTTGATGCCCGCCCAAAACGCCTGGGGATGAGGGGCAAAGGGTCAAAATGGCGCCCCTGGTACCCAGGGTACTGTATCATCAAGTAACAATGGCCTTGGCTTGGATATATTTAATTTTTTGTTGGCATTGTTTCATCCTCATACGTTACAAGACAACCTGAAGTTGGACAGTGGAGAGCAAAAGTTTTTCCTTTGGGATCCTGTCCACCCAAACAATCTCTAAGTATTTGTCAGGTTTTTACACGCATGTTAACTTTCTGCTTCTTTTCTTCGTACATTAGTTAATGACCGTATGGTTTTCGGCTTTTTGCATGAACAAGATGTAGCTAGTCGGCGGAAAAAGGCCATTGTTTCTTCTTCTCAACCCACTCAAAAACGGTTGGGATCTTACTTATGACCGTCTTTGCGATTGGCGACCCGACAGCCCAAAAATAAATGGTCCAAATGGTGAAAGAAAACCAATTATTCTGTGGACCACCTTTTTAACCCTTTATTTGCTAACGACTTTGTTTGGTTACCTAGAAAATTCATTAACATCTATTTACATAATATTATCAGACATTTTAACCATTTAGATCTATATATCGGAAGAAGCCCAAGATAGAAATATATGTCTAATGTCTTAGGCGGCACCTTGGTTGCCGCCAAAGGGAAAGAAAACTTTCGAATTTAGATGCTTCCAGTTCGCTGAAAAAACGCACTTTTGAAGCAATTTTTAATAATTTAAGCTTTCTCTTGAATGAGTATCCACAGACGGAAAGCTATTTGATGGTTTAAATCGATTTGCTGATGTCATTGTTAAATATTCTAGCTTATGCATCATAATTTTCTCCAGATCGTGACATTATCTCTCAGCTTTTTCTTCCTAGCATTTCTTATCATTTTAGTGCATCAAAACTTCTTGCACCCTTCCAATGATTTCATGAAATGGCGCCTAATCTGATCTTCTACAGCCAAGCCAAAAGTTATTGATGGGTGCCTCAAAAACACCCCTTATGCAATTGAGTTTATGCAATGCCCCCCCCCTGCCAGTATCCCCTTAATATGGTGGAGTTGCCTATGTTGATGACTCTAAACATCTTCTGACTGGGCAGGACTCAAATGATTCACCATTTACAAAGCTCGAAAGTTATCTCAATTTTTCGATTGTGAAAATAAAAAATTTGTCTTTCTTGGTGTAACGTTTTGTGAATATATTATTGGAAAATTCTTAATGTAGGAAACATAGCTACTATATGCGATACCTCTGAACACTGCTATATGGATTGATCACATCGCAAAGAACCTCCCTGAAAACATTCCTGAATCAGAGGACATAAAAATTGCTCTAAGTGACCATTATGCTTCTTGCTGCCATCGAAAATATGAACATTGTTGTCGTCAATCACGGAGTTGTTCTTTGTCTTTTAGGCATCTTTCGAGGTTTTGATACTATGAAGTAGGACTAGTGCACCTGCTTATTGAGGAGAAAAGAGGCTTTAATTTTCCATTCCCTGCCCAGAATCAATTTGGGCGTTTGGTGTGACTTCTTGGTGCGACTATCCCCTGTAGATTGAGCGATTTGTGCCGATGCATCTATGGCTAAATTCGCTCCCATTGTTGTAGGGATGTAGCTTCATCCCTGATTTAGTGATGTAAATGGCATACTTTTTAAGGGACAATTTTGCTCCATTATTTGCAAAACAACAATCTTGTCCGATTTAAAAACATTAAGGAGGTCTTCTTATAACCAATCCTGGCTTTACTGATAGGTTGGCTAGGTGGTTGCCCAAGATCCCCACAGCTTGTAAAAATCTATTCCATAAATTTGAAAGAAAGTAGTGTTAATCTTAAAAGGGTCTTCTATCAGTTACGAGGTGCGCGTAAAAACTTATTTTAATCAGATAGTGATTACTTACAATTGACAAGCTTGCAGGGGTTACGATGTAAGTTGGAAAATGGGGGGGGGGGCAAAAGCAGATAAGACCCATAACAAAAGATTATGTAAATACGCTCAATTTTTATGCAAAAAGGGGGGGGGGCAAAAAACTTAAGAACTTCCCAATTCATAGATTCGTATAGTCTTATGTATTTTTTTATTTAGATTCTTTTTTCTTGCGAACATTTGTTAACAGATACCTTAATCGACACCTTCTCTGTAGCCAGAGGAGTTCAGTACTGAAGGCTGCCCCATGCCTTCTACATACTCAATTGACTACTTGTTCGGTCCTGGACTGACCAGGAAATTCTAATCAGGTTAAAGAATAATATCCATAAAAAAGAGAATCAATCTCGTCTTTATTTGGGCATCTGTTGTAGGTACATTCTGTAATGAAAAATTCCAACCTAGATTTTTACGTTTTCGAGGAATCTGTTACACGTCTCAACATACAAACTCAATTTATTTGATTAACAAATATACTGTATCAAAATATAGCTTTGTAATGTTTACTTAGAGGTTCAGCAAAGCTCGAAAAGGTAGTGAAACCCCGTTTGCATGTTTACAGGCAAAAGAATGCGTGTTAAAACATGAGTTGTTGGGTGATACACTAAACTTAAGCGAGGTAGTAGGTACGTTCGTACCACCCTCAGGTTAGGAGGCGTTTCTACAATAAAGGAAGCCTGCCCAAAAAGCACGAAGATGTAGGGTGGCAAGTCTTCTTTCTCGCTATCTAGTTTTGAAACTGTCTACCAGTTTATGTTAGGAGAAGAGCGGTTGATCGCAAGATTCACGAGCCAGGCCTGAAATCGAACCAACATCCTTTAAAATTGAAGCTAAACGACCTAATCTTTTCGGCACTTCGCCTTCTATACTAGGCCATTTCACCCAATTTGTTTTTTGTATCAATTTGTCATAAAAACAAAACGCCTTCTCTGTAGGACGATTTGATCACGTCAGACGTTTGGAAACCCCGATTCGCCGAAATATAGCCAATGAAGACCGTCTTCCTTCTTATTGGCTGGCTTCTGTCCATATATGGGGAGAATCATGGCCACCTCTTGGCCTTTATCCAAAGTTTGGGCACATGCACGTACAAGATAAAAATGTTTTGGATTGCATGCACGAAATCTCACCATATTTTGAGCTAGGCTGAATATCCGTGGAAAACAGTTTTATTTGGTTAAAAAATTCTACATTTCATTTCTAGGTTACATTCCTTAAAAATGATTCTAAACTCGATCTTGTCTTGTAGCTTGTATAATTTGTTAAGAAGTCTCTCATTTCGTTCACTCGTATGGGTTCGCTATCAGGGTATGGACGGGAGTATGATTTCCTGCAAAAAATAACAGACACTCGATTTATTATGTATTGGATACTTAAATGACAGTAAAAGAGCGGGATTGAAACTAGCTAAATGATGATTGTCCCAAGCAATTGGCAACTGTAAAATAAGAAACTAGGTGTCGCAAGCATTGCGGCTGAACAAAATTTGCAAAGCATCATGGTTAGCTGCATTGACAGCAAGGCATCATGGTTAGCTTAACTGAGAGCAGAGCATCATGGTTAGCTGAGTTTTCAGCAAAGCATCATGGTTAACATTACTGAGAGCAGAGCATCATGGTTAGCTGAGTTTTCAGCAAAGCATCATGGTTAACATTACTGAGAGCAGAGCATCATGGTTAGCTGCATTGACAGCAAGGCATCATGGTTAGCTTAACTGAAAGCAGAGCATCATTGTTAGCTGAGTTTTCAGCAAAGCATCACGGTAAGTTAAGATATGCAGGAAACACATATCGTAAAATGCCGTTTTTATCAACTTTCAATAGAGCTTCAAAAAAGGCCTAGGAAATGGAAATAACTGATAAAATAGCCAGGTTTAATTTTACAAATTTACGCACCTGCCAACTGGAAAAAGAATAAAAGTAGGAAAACCATCCACAGCATAATGATAAGGCAAGTCATTCTTATCAGCATCAATTCTAGGAGGTAAGAGAGAAAGGATAGGGTAAAATATTGTAACTTACAAAACCAGTTACAGTTGTACATATGCAAGATAAAACGATGCATGCAAAGTTATAAGCTAGAAAAAGCATAAAATTTCATTTTTCAAAAAATCCACCCTGCTACACGAGTACACAAACAAAGAAAGCTGCATGCTACTTTGTGTTGCTTTCAATCTTAGAATATTTGTATACGATAAATGGATAAATATCTATCTGTCTTTACTTATACGATGTTCGTGTATAGAACACGATGGCTCTAAGTTGTTACACCGAGATTCAGGCTTAATCAGGTCATCAAGAAATTATTAAAACTTCTCTATCTATGGGGAATATTATATTTAAATGTCCCTTGAGGTATCGGGAACTTCAATGCTTATTGTCCATGTCTTCATATGTGCGTATGTTTCTTGACGCTTGCTTTTAAAGGTGTTCCATTAAAAAGCACACGTTAGTCACACCTTCTATCTAATTTGGTCAACGTAAAGCATTAGAGGCAAAGTTCTATAAATCTTTTCGTTTTCAGAGTGGTTTTCGTACAAAATCAGCCAAAGATAACCATCTACTTCGTGGTAGGCTTTGGTAACTAAACAACCATAGCGACTGCTTCAACAGAATTCGATATTGCTATTGAAAAGAATTTCAGCCACAAATGTAATGAGCGGGAGCCTGGGAGCTAGTTTCAAATTGATGACGTAATGTCAGGGTAAACAAACCTTGCGAATCGTAGCGTATCTATTCCTTGAAACAGTCTAGCAAGCTGAAGAAAGCTTTTAGCTGCATGCTTGCAAAAGCCACACCACGGTGCGTAATACATTAGAAAAACATCCTGTAAAACAAAGAAAAGTGATTCCAAGACTTCTTTCAACAGAATGGCTCGTCTTTTTAGACAAGAATCTTCTGCCTACCTAAAGTCTAATATCTAAATAAATTGCATTGTCTGTTTCGATTATCAATTCATTTCAACCGAAAGATCACTTTGTAGTGCATTGATTCAAAGCGTTTGATTTAAAGGGTATTATAGAGGGTAATTATTTCACAAAATTCTTCATGGAATACGTTAGAATTAAAGACGACAAAGACCTGTAACGCAATCTATGAGCTAATGGCTTTGTATTTTGTGTTCAGTTCGTTCGTAGTAGGTATCAGTTTATTTATGTTTTTAAGTTGTTGAGCTTAAAAATGATGAAATCAAAAATACACTCTACTTACAACAGAGTTATCTAGGACTATGTCATCAAAAGAATTCGTCGTTACTTCATGTATGCATGCTCCAACTCCAGGGCAGCCTCTGATGTCATCACTCGATCGCAGTATCCTTTTCAGTTTTCCGTTTGTATAATTTGTGATAAAGTTTACTAGATATAAAAAGGAAGTTTTGTAGATTGCCAGAATGAAAATGTAAGTGGTACATAATAGAGAAAAAAGAAGTAATAAAATAAGCTTTAAGTTAGCATATCAAATATTTTTTGTAAAATTTTAATTTTAGGAAATCCCCTTATATATTCTCTAGCTTAATCCTATCGACCATGCATCATTTTTATGGATGCACCAAAAATAAATCATGTTAGAAGATGCAACAAGACACGGAAAAAATGATGATACAATGTGGTTCTCAGACAAAATAGACTGACAGAGTACTCTCAAGTTTCTAATTGTAAGGGGGGAGGGTAAACTCCATTTTCAGAACTTTGCATACCCATTTCCCTTTATTAACACCCCCCTAATAATTTATTTCATGCATATTAAAAATAATTTCATTCCAGTTGAAACATTATTTCGGAAAATCTAAGCACTTCAATCTATTATGACCCCCCCCCCAATTTAAGGGTTTTTTTTGAAAAAATGCCAACCCCTCTCCTTATTAGACCCCCTCACAATTGGGAACTTGAGAGTAGCCATATTGGTTTCGCCCAAAAGCAAGGCCCTATAATTCTAGGCAGCTTTTACAGACCCTACAGGACTCTAGTTTTCAAGGAAATAGAATTGCAGAGAAATTATTCTGAATATCATGGAAGTTTCCGTAATCCTATGTACAGTGCCTGCCAAGAGTCTTGGAACACTGACGTCAATTTCCAAGGTCAAAATCAATTATCCCCCTCCCCCCTACAGAACAATGTTGGTTTACTATCAAACGGGTTAGGATTTTAGGAAACATTTTCCTTTGCGCTTCTTTTATGACATTTCTCTAAATTATCAACATTGTTTTAGGGGGAAGGGGGCGGAAGTCATAATTTTTTTCCATGAAAGGAATGAAAGATATCAAATGCAGTGTGAATTGCTGGGTGTTCCAAGTACTTTTGGCAGGCATTGTAGGTCATTCAAGCGCTTTATTTGACGGGGGACGAGTTTTATAGCACAAATAAATTAAGAGCTGCATTGGAGAAGCTCAGAGTATGAAGAGTAAAAATAGGGGACTCACCAACGTTGTTGTAAGACAGGGCAGAGCTCTTGTTAAAAACGTAAGTAGCTTCATTCTACAATAAAAGGGATAACAATTGAGCAACGTTAAACATATGATAAGGTTAAGCCTTGAGGGATTCTTCAGATTCTCATGGCTACAAATTGAATTAGAAATGGACACTGCATATAGTAGAGAAAGCGTGCGAGAATTTTGCCAAAGGACAGCCGTTTCTCACTTGAAAATCGACTCATAGGCTCTTTGGAAAGCGCGCTTTTGGTAAAGATAATAACTTCATCGCGTTAAAATCCAAATAAATTACAAGGAAAATTACACATGGGCCCACGACTCAAGTGATTTGAGAGATTAATGGGCTATCTTTGGGGCAGGAAAGCCCTACGAGAATCGCCATCTGTTAGGAGTGACTGAATATCTCATATCTACCAAATACTGCACAACAAAATCATAGATAAAACTCTTTTTAGAAATGATGAATCTACACAGATTAAACAGATTAATTGAAATTCTTCTATGAAGAATTAAGATATACTTGTCGTGTGAAAGGTAAGAAAGAGGATCGAAATGGTTAATGTTGTTTTTTCTTCCATGCATTGCATGGATAACCATAAGGACGTGTGGAAAACTGTTTTGATCAGAAAATTGGTCCAAGGTGCAAATCATGAAAAACATTAAAGGACCTATAATCTCTGCTGTAGCATCAATTCTATGGGGTAGAAGGTTCTTCATTTATGCATATGTGCAGCACAGTTCAAATTCAGAAGGACCAGAACTCGATATCTACCGTCTAGAATCAAGTTGTCTGTGTATTGCTGAAAAATCGCTACAGTCAATATCTAGGTACAGAAATTCTAGAGATTTCACATAGACCGGTCCTAGAACTTCCAGGCCGTATTGATATGGTGCTTGGTTGAGGGGCACTTCACGTCTGAGCAAGCATTACAATACACCTACAAGCCCCCCTTAATCTTCGCAATCCAAAGTGAAAATTTAAGCAAATCGAACTAAGCGCTGACTACCCACCTTTACATCAACCAAAGTTAAAACCATGCGTGGCCGCAATGCATTCTCAAATATCCCTAGATCCCTGACCATCTTCTCGTGTCTATCAATGTCCAAGTAAAAGAAATTAACTGTTCTGTTAGTTTTACATCTCAATCCTCTGAAATCAGAAAATGAAAAATTCCTCGGTGACACAATATCTGAAAACCTATATTTTCGTTCTTCTTCGTGTGATTTCATTTCCGCTCTCAACTTTCGTAATTCCTGTTGACCGATCTTTACTGCTTCTTCAAAGTTTTTGTGAAACAGTTTACGACTGAAAAAGCTATTTCCCTGCAGTTTAGCCATTATTTCATCGTTGCTTTCGGAAACAACATCTAGTAATGTCTTGAAAGCATCAACAAGCGTGTCCAGTCCTTCATTTAATGCTACTTTACTGTTTGAACTATCATTTAAACTCTTGAGGTCCCGTGCTATCGCATCTTTTCTTTCCTTGCTCTCTATCTGAACTTTCTCTAGAAAATCGGTCGCAGAGTTGCCTTTTGAATCACCAATTTCAACACAGCATAATGAGTTGTAGTCGCAAATGTTCTGGTAATGCCGACGAAGACAGCGGCACGAATTCGTTCTTATGCTAATATCTTCTATATGCACTGGACGATTCCATAAATGTTCAAGGCTTGCCAGTTTCTGTTCACGAGGCCTACAATCTGCTAAGGAATACTGGCAGATGTCACATAAATGTTTGCTAAATTGTCTAAAAAGAGAGATACACATCTCAGGTTTTTTTCGTCGGTTAGGTCTTGTGTTGATGAAAGACGAACTCAGGGTTGGAGGCAGGAAAGAGTCTGCACTGCAATTGTGATAAACTGCAGCTAAACGGCGATACTGCAACAAAAATGAGATGAGTATTTCCAGGACAAGTCAATTATCGCTAACATTGCGAATAATTTCGCACGATATTGCCCAATGTGTATTATCTCATCAAAGAGTGAGGGATATTTTGTTACTTGGATATCTCGTACGTCTTTGCGAAATCTCTTGACCTCACATCAAAATCAATTTAATTTTACTTTGCGTATATTATTTTCTTAAAGTATGAACTTCAATAAAAATGCCCGAAAATATAGAAAAACTCTTTGCTTAAACGTTTCAAGGTAGAATTAGAGTCGAGACAAAAATTAAGAGCGAAAATTTTTTTGATACAAACCTCTCGGAGTACTTCTGGAGACCGCTTTGAGCTGCCTCCTTTCTGTGACAAGAATAAAAGCAATGCAGGACCTCGTTTTAGATGTGCAATATGGTGGTCCATTGTAGCCATGCTTGGGGACAGCTTTGTGACAAACTAAAAAGAAATAAGATAGCTTTCAGTCTTTGAATTCAGTTGTGAATACGATAAGGTAACAATGTATATTTGGAAAAACAAGGTTTCGGCTTTTGTCTTACAAAAGATTCTTGTGGTTTAAGGAACTCGTTGAAGGAATTCCATTCCGATAATGTGGAAATGTAGCACGGTGTGGGCTTCAAAGAATTTTTGGAAATCTAATTCTAAAGTCTAAACTTAAAAAATTGTCGGAGAAAATCAATAAGATTTGCGGGCTGGAGGGCTTTTTTAGAGCAGCAGGTTATTCTGTAACTTAAGTTTTGTTGCATGAAAGAATCAAGAAAGGATGTAAGAAAAAATTAAATAAAATCGAAAATATCAAATAGCTGTAAATAAAAAAAATAATTTATACGCAAATAATGAAAGGCCACGGTAACATGAAGATGAAAGGCCCGTAAGGATGGGGGGCGTGGGGGCGTCACAAGCCCCCCCCCCTGGAAAAAATATTGTCGGCAAATCTGGTCTACCTTCGGCAAACCTGGTCTACCGTCGGCAAATCTGGTATACCGTCGGAAAATCCTGTGATATGTTGGAAAATACTGTGATATGTTGGAAAATACTGTGATATGTTGGAAAATACTGTGAGGCCCTGACTGCAGAAATGGATGTGAAAACAGTTTCGTCGGAAGAAATTCATTTAGGGGGGAGGGGGCTGCCCATTGTTTTCCTTCTCATCCAGTACACTGTTATAAAGGAAATATTCTGCAGTTTGACAATTATTGGGGGGCTCCAGCCCCCCAGCCTCCCCCCGGTGCCGACGGGCCTTGAAAAATGAGACAAGGAACACTCAATGCGCCGAGATTGAAACAGATTAAAAATTTATTTCGTACGCAAACTTTTCGCCACAGACAACTGATCTTTTTATTAGATATTTTTGAGCTAAAATGTTGCTCATTCACAAAAGCTTGTATACAAACTTCTCTTCTATTTACAGATATGTCCGTCCGTCAGTATTCACATAATTAGAACTTTCGCACTTTTTGGTGCTTTGAATATGAGAAAGGTAACCAATTTTTGGAAAAATTCAAATTTCCTTGTGCAGGGGGAAGAAACTTAATTTTTGTGTCAATTTTTATGCGAGAAATTAGATTTTTTGGTTGATGGCTTGCACATACATAAGCCTTAGCAAACCTATCCTAAATATATGGGTAGACCCCTGGGGGAGGGGGTTATGGAAAAATTGAATACGGGGCTCAATATATCAGGAATACGTTTGCCTGAAAACATTTAGCAACAATATACAATCCCGTTATCCGGTAAGGATTTGAGCTCAGCACAAGATAAAGCGATGTTCATGCCATAACAACACGCATTCATTGACACTCGGGCTCTGTGTAGCAGCATTCAATGCTACCAATCGAATCTGGCAACTCCCAAAGCATTTATGACACTTCGCTGTTAGCGGTATTGTAAAAGCAAGCGTCTATTAAACACGTTCAATTGTTCAGTTGGGATTCCACAAGCTCCTATGGGCTCTTTCAAATATTTTACTAAATACCAACAAAGCGCCATTTTGCTTCAAATTATCAAGGAAATGAATCCATTTGATATTCACTACCCTGCTATCGTCGCTATATGGTCCTGGAAAAGGCAGCAAAGTTTTATATACCAGCAAAGCTATCCGTTTTTTAAAAGTTTAGCATTACTAGAAGAAAGGATCAAATAATTTCTGTCATCTGTCAGTCTCAAAGGGTGGTTTTTAATACAAAAGGGGAACGAGGGGCAAAGCCGTGTAAAGAACGTGTAAAGTTTTGGTGTAAAGAACAGGACGGTTTTAAGTCGCTACCCCGAATTTCATGTATATTGCGATCATCATCAGGACTTTGTGACAACTAGAGCACTTTATGGCAGAAAGGTAAACAGTATTTTTCATAAGGAAAGAATATACCAGTGATGATTAATTAATTTTTCAAAAAAAACAAATCATTTTAAAGTCATTTGACACAGGTTAAAGTGGTTTACAGCCATTAGACCACCAGCGGTTGCCCAATCAAATTGCACACAGAGAAAAAACATGGAACATTTACCGCTCAACTGCAAAGCGGTGGAATTCTAAAGCAGCACACACTGGTTTCCTCGGGGGAGGGGTACCTTAACATGTTTGAAGGTACGGGGACGTGCAATTATTTAGGGGTAATTTTTTCTGAAAAGTGTGGAATTATCGGTATCACTTTTTGAAATATGTGCGGAACTATGGGTACCATTTGAAGAAACATGCAGAATTATTGGTATAATTTTCAGCATGTTTGCGGAATTATGGGTCACATTTTTTCAGACATTTGCGGAATTATGGGTCCAAAATTTTAACCAAAATGGCACGTCCCCGTCAAAAATTAGGCTTAGTTTACAGCCCCCCCCCCCCCCCCCCGAGCTGGTTTCACGTGAGCAATTTTCAATTTACTTCAATGCGCGCGTGCTCTGATCAATTTGGCCTAAGTTATTTTTGGATTCACTGTACCTATGCATGTCAAATGCCTTTAATTAGGGTTGGATACTACCGAAGGGCCAATGATAGAATTTTTGGTGCTTTCATTTTGAAAATTGAAACTGACTCTCAATTTGACTGATTATGTAAAGACAAGAAATACAACGCCGTAATGCTTGCACACAGAAATTACCTTATGATTTCACAAAACAATTTCTGCATTATAACATCGGATATTTCAATTGAAGTTAGGAATATATTCTTTTTTGTGAGCCGATAATTTGCTCTGGAACGATACTGTATTAAAAGGATTTGTCGACTATAAAAATCTATGAAATGCCGCCCTGTAAAAAGGGCTTTAGGCCCATTAAAACATTTGCCTAATACGGATTAGAGAAAATTTTAAGATGGCGTTTTTGTTGAGCATATAGGGTGAAAGGAAACCAACGCTAAATGATTTTTAACGGTCATACCACTTTTTGGCCTATTTCAACACAAAAGGAATTTGATCCAGGCGGGTTGAGTGTTATTGTGGAAATTGAAACAGGCTCTGGCTTTTGTTCAAGGCGCTTTGCAAACCGATAATCCTTTGAGGCTTTCCTCCAATTCCTATTGAATTTCACGAACAATTAAATCGTCAAATGGCGGAGACGGCCATTGTTACTTTTGTTATGCTAATTTCCTATGAGAGCCGATTCCCATTTAACATCGGTTTCGGATTTACTTTGAGATCGAAGCAAGCCTGAGGAACGCGATCGCCTGTCGATCGGAACACGTCTCCCGCTTAAACATTCGAATATAAACAAGCTGACACAAACGTCATTTGCTGCAGGATAGATAGACGTACGCCTTTCAAAATACGCGTGTAGATCTGCCATCGAAAGAGCTGAAGAAGATCGCAAGTCCGAGAGCAGAAAACCAACGGGCGATTGCTGACAGGTACTTTGACGACTTTAATTTGCACCGTTATTGCTTTATATAAGGATGCAAAACATTCCATTATCTAGTATTCAATTTTCTTGTGTTTTCAGTTTAACACAAATCGGAAACAAGGGTCATTTTCGAAACTATATAAGACTTTAGAGAATTAAAAATCGGCCTTTTAAATTTCATTTTAAGGACTCGACTATAAAAATGTTCGCGTTTAATTGATGATAACATCTTTCGTCTCATTAAAGATTAGTTACTATCAATTTTTGCTTTGAAACGAACTGCCCCTTTGAATAAGGGAACTATCGCGTGTTTTTTTTCGATTTATAGAGTCTGATTTCAAACATCGGGTAAATACAATAAAGACAATTGGAAAAAGTATAGGATGAATAAGCAGAAATAAGTTTTCTCTTTTAACGTGGTGCCATAAACGAAAGATGTTATCAAGGCGAGTCTGGAAAACGTGCCCCTTATTACGAAATTATTAATATTATTAATTATTGCGAAAGGTTTGATCTTGTTGAAAAATATGACTGTCGTTGTCATTCTTTTGCGTACCAAATTGTTTTTATAACAATACAGTATAAAGTGTTTTTTGTGAAATTTTATTGAAACCATAAGAATTTTTGCCAAAGGCGTACAAAGTTTTTGTTGAGTGATGTGCCCCACGGTCATTGTTACATTGAAACTTGCCAACAACAAGATTTATGCGGCATGTTTTTGATATCAGCGAGAAAAAATAATTGGCTTCTGTAGGTAGTGTAGGCATCTTTGCTTGGGGTAGTGGTATGCCAAAGGGATCCTATAGCTGGGGGTATAGAGCAAGGGGGGCTCAGGGGGGCCAATCTAGGAAAATTGGCAAATCTCTACTTTTGATATTGTTTTTCGCAACATTTTGGGCAAGAGACCCCCCCCCCTGTTATTTTGATAGCACTACACAACTGGGTATAGTGGTATGGCAAAGGGATCTGTGAAAAGACGAGCATTAAGCGTGGGTTGAGGGCACGGGTGAAATGCTATGCCCCACTGCATTCCAAGCCCTTCCAATCAAAGACCTTTGGTGTGAACAGTTTTCTGGCGATTTTTTTCCTTTTGTGTATTTTCTGACGTAAGTCCTGACGTAGATCCCTGAAACACAGAAAGGGTGCTATGAAAAGAACAAGGGGGGCCCTCGTGTAAATTTGTCAGAAAGCAATAGGAAAGAGAAGTGGATATTTACTTTTGTGATTGACAAGTGGGGCTCAGCCCCCATGAGCACATAGCCCTACACCTTTCGTTAGAGTGTATACCTTTTGAAGCATCTTAAGGAATTATGATTTTAGAAAATGCTAAAAAATGAATGCTTTAACAGAGGCCACGCCTTCAACTTCAAAGTGGTGAGGCTATAGTGTAGTAATAGTTGAAAAATCTCCGACCTAAAGGCGCGGGGACAATATGACCCAACCCCCCCCCCCCTTGGCATGGCGTTTGTCACTAAACAGTTCTCTGACTCTGTCTTAATCTTAAAACAACGAGAACGAAAAATATGTCAATAATAGGAAAACGAGGATTACAAGGAAATTTCATTAAAAGATATGGACCAAACAAGTTAATAAATACATCCAATTTCTAATGTATTTATTTCACATCCTAGAACCTTCAGATCCATTTATATAAAGAAATGCATTAAATAAAAGTGAAAATGAATTCAATATCCGTGGAATTGTCTGTATAAAAGCATAAATAATCGTATAAATATCAGTTTGATACCGTTGCAAAATTTATTTTTGGTGGCCATGCTTCCTTTTAAAAAAAGCTGACTAGGGTTGGTCGCCCTAAAGGCTTAGTTGTTAACAGTCTTGTATAAAAACAATTCATTTGACGCCTATGCTGGAGGACAGGGGGTCTATTATAGGTTTGCGGTTTCACGGCCTGGACCCTATTTTTACGCGCGGCCTTCAGCATTTGGACCCTCTATAACAGACCCTCTTTAAATGATTTGTATTTTTATTGTAGATTATTTAATGTTAGTTTCTACAATAGTGAATATACACTAATTAAGACTAACATGAAGCAATTTCAAGTATTGCATAAGGCAGTTCATTTACTGCAAAATGAGCATGCGCACTTGTTTTCAAGGAACCAAGTTTTGATCAAATTCTTAAATTGTCTGGTATTTTGTGCTGTCTTTATTGATTCCGGGAGTGTATCCCAGATTTTAGGCCCTTGAAAACTTAATGATCTGATACCATTATTGGTAGTTCTGGCTTTTGGAATGTCAAGGGGGTTTTTAAGTCGAAGGTTATGACCTGTTGTTTTGGGTACAAAATAGTCTTTCATGAAAACAGGATTAAGGTTGTTAAGTGTTTTATAAACTTCGAGCGCTAAAATTCTAACTGATTGGACATGTATGGTAATTTCTTTTGAGTTAGCAAGTAAATCTTTGTAAGAAGATGAATAGTCCGAATAGGCTAGCTTTAATGCCCTCTCGTTAATTTTCTCTTGCTTATGCTGACTTCCTTTACCACATAGCATCCATATCAATTGACAATAATCGAAGAGACATAGTATAAATAAATTCGTAATTATCTTTTTTTCTCTGTAGCCCATAAATCTTACTTATCTTTTTCAAGAATTTTACTGTTTAGCTGCTTTTTTGCAGATCTTATCGATATGAGCGTCAAACCTTAAATTTTCATCAATCTGAACACCAAGCAAAGTAGCGTTGTTCTCTATTTTAATTGCAAATTTTTGATGACATGCAAACAGGAATTGTACGGGTGATTGTCTTTATTCTTTAGCTTTGAAGATATGCCAATAGAGGAAGCTGCCTAAATCGAAGTTATGTCAGACGAACAATTGGTGGAGTACAATCAGGATCCAGAAAATCAACCAGCAGCAGTCGAAGCCACCAGTTTCACCACAAGAAAGATGAAGGCTGAAGAAACGCACAACAAAGACATACAAATTGTGCATGACAAAGCAAAACAACGCACTAAGTATGGGGGTGAAAAACAGGAAAACGGTGTTGGAATTTCTAACCGGTCCGGTCAGCGTCGAGAGTCCGATTTGCTAATCCAAGGGCGCGAAGGCAAAAATAGGTTGAATAGTCGTAGACGATCAAGTCGTTTTGACAAAGGACACCGAAAACGGTCACGGGATAGGAGAATGTGTGAAGACAGAAGGTCGTTGGAAAGGGAAAGAAGTATGTACGAAACGCAAAAAGACTATTTTTACTCGGATGAAAGTTTGTCAGAGGATAACGATTCGTTGAGCTCTGCTGATTCTGACTCAGAGGGAAGTGCAAGCGATGGGTCACTTGACAGGGAGCAAGGGTGGGGGCGAGAAGATGTTAGATCAAAAAGAGACACCTTGGCATATAAAATATCACGAAACAGACGAGGAAAACACAAGAAATCAGGCAAGAAACACCATGCCCGTCATCAAGATAACGATTTTTCAAATCATCATTACCTGACTACAGAGAAAAATGACGCAAGACCAAATAGCAGACGCGTCTCAAGTCCGCATCAGCCGGAGAGCACCAGTCTCCTCAAACAAATGCTACGCAATCAGGATACAATGGTGACAAAACTTGATGCTATGGTGAATCTTTTGAGAAAGACTGTTCGTGCATTGACTGCCAAGGAAAGAGATTCACACTATGGGAGGAATGATGACATGCTATATTCTGGAAGAAAAAGACCACGTGGGGGGATTTCTGACTCCGATAGAAGCAGAGCCAATTACGAGCCACATGCGTCTGAAAAGAGGCCGAGGTATCATTTAAAGCAAGACTTGTCACCAAGGCATGCTGACAGCTACCTTGGAGGAGACGTGGTCTCTTCTGAGAACGGGATAAGACATCGGAATGAGGCGACACGTGGGAATGAAGAATTACAGCCAAGAATATCGTCTTATTACTCAGTTCGAAGTGAAGGCATGGATACAAGGCAACAAGAAAGGCAACATCCAACTGAGAGGTACAGAAGCAATGACCCCACAATAATGTCGCGAGACTCTTTCAGTGGAGAGACTGATCGTCGACCAAACGGCCCTTATTCCACCAGCTTGGAAGAAAATTTTGTTGTGAATCCTCCTTCGCCAGGCAGAGTGCAAGTTTTACAAGAACCCGCCACTGGAAAGCAAAACTCAGCTTTAGCGACTGGTGAATGTTTCCAAAATGATGAGCCACAGTACTGTCGTACTGAACAGCTTGACGGTGACGTAGAAGAAACGTCACACGCAGCTAGTTCCTCTGAGTTTACCATGGGAAGAAGCAGCACAGAGTCGCAAAGAAGCCTTAAGCGGGACAGTAGGCCATCAATGGTTGATCTATTTAAAACGAACAACGCTTTGATTCCACAAAAATATTATGCACCAGCTAATGTGTATTCACAAAGCGGCAAAACGGTGGAGCCGAGTGATGTGAAAAGCGACACTGTTCTTGGCGAGCAGGGGATCACCTATATCTTTCATGAACAGCCTTGGAAAGAGGACAGTCTCACAGATGGTTTCAAAAGCCCTAATTCTCGCAAGAGAGAAAGTCTTGAACCTACACCATGGCTTGCTCGTACACTTACAACTGGAAGTGGCAAGGGTGACGGGGGTACCTTTACAGTGAATGGCAAAGAGTTTGACAATATGAAACACGAGGTTGGAAAGCAAGCAGAGTCAACTGACAATAAAAAGATGATGTCAAACGTCAATCACCTGACGCTAAGTACAATGTGTGTGTCGTCTGAAATCGTCCAAGTTCTGGTTGTCACTCCTTCTGACCAAAACAATGACAAAGATGCACCAAGGAAATCCATGGAACGGGTTTTGAATCAATCATTGGCATTGATGGGCTGTCTTCCGTTGATTGCAGAGATCGATCTATCAGTTGTCCAGAAAATCTACCATGGTAGCAAGAACTGTATGTCGTTCATATACCGGCTTATGGATCATTGTTACACTAGGGAGGAGCTAATGAAATGCAGAGTTGCTGGTGGGGTTAGAAAGTATCGTGGAAATAACACTGAAACAGAACAGCTCTGTCCGAGAAGGCTTCGCACGATTTTAAAACTTGCCAGTGATCTGTATCCCAATGAGTATGCACAGCTGACAAAGGCCAATATGATCAGGAATAACATAAACATGAAATGCAGAAAGACTGTTATTCGGGATAACCAAGAAAATGACGTTAGAAACAACTCTGAAGGGTTTCAAGCTACAGCGACCAACTGAGATACACTATTGGCCTATGCAGTTTACCCGCTGAACTTGTTCTGACGCAATCAAGGCCCAGCCATTTTGACGCCAGCTTCAACTTCGAAGCATATTTATACTTGCTACAAATTGTATCTGACTATGAGTCTTAATAGGCTGTACGCCTTCCATAGAAAACCGAGTTGTACACCGGAGATGTACACCATCTAGTTCTGGAATTTTTGTAGTTACATTTAGACGATTTTTTAGGTTAAATTTTCAAGATACCTTGATTCTGTAGGCAACCATCTTTAATTTTCTTGACTTTAAAGTTTGTTTATTAGCCCGTCTAATAACAGGATATTGACTATTTCAAACCTAGACTTAACGTTATAAGAAAAAGGTGAAACACACATTGATACATAGCTAGAATCATTTTTATTAACATTTATTTGGTTGTTAATGAAAGAAACCAGACGAAGAATCCGGCAAGGGGAGCACCTTTAGAAAATAATCATAAAATGCGGTTTAGCAGCTAATGAAAGTGGCGTAGCTAACTCTTTCCCGTATAACATTTTATTAATATTGTTTTTAGGGTCAACCTATGTAGATTCAACTTATATTAATAAAACTTTGTTCTTAAGTGTATCTTTGCTATGCCATTCCTGAGAAAAATCTTCGAAATTCCTGCTCTGTACAAAGGAATCTTCCATCTTATCTGTCAATCTTATCGACAGACAAAACAAAGTAGGCCCACTGAATTATTTCTATTAAAACAGCATAATTTGTGGCTCTTATTTTGGAGTCTATGAAACTGTAGCTACAGGGTATCAAAGGTCTGGGAAACCGCAATAGCCTACAGCAAAGATAGGATTGTTTAGAAGGAAAGACCATTAACAAGAGCCTTTCGTGATGGGAAGGGCCAGACAATATTTTAAGAGATATCTATTGGAAAAGAAAACATCAAGTGTAGTTAAATCTTAGATTGAAGTTTCTTCTAGCGAACATCTGCATTTAGCAACAGCCAGCTCCAAACAAATTGTTTCACATTTTGATTTACAATTATTGGTCAAATGATTCCATTTTACAATTCCCACCCTATATTGGTCACAAATTTAAGATGCGTTTAGACAAATTAATTACAAACGCTTCATTAAGGAAGGGGGGAAACATCAAGTAGAGGGCAGCTTGAAATTGCAGGATTTAAAAATTAATTTTTAATTATTTAACTTCTGACAATCAATGGAAGTTGTTTTAACTTCTCAGTATTTTATGAATTTTAAATTAAATGCACGTTGTTTTTAAGAATGGGAGCTTGAATGGGATCTAGAAGGATCACAAAACATAACTCAATTGGAAACTCAGTATATTACGACGGGAAAGTTCAGCGCTTCGATTTTTTATGAATAGAAAGATGAATAGAAAAGAAGAAATTATTTTTACTGAAATAGAAGCTCTTGATACCGGTAAAAAATACGTTGTATCGAATAACGAGGAGAGTCGCAATTTGGTCGAAAATGGCACCTGCATGAAATAATTTTAATTACCGAGAAATATGTGTCAATTTCTGCATTTGAATAAGCAACCACGAGGGAGGGCAGTTTGTTTTGATAATCTTCCTGTCTCATAAAATTCTTGGTTATTGAAAAGTCAAGTGATAATATTTATAAATCATAAAGTAGATATAAAATAGTTTTTTTTAAATGCCTTTATTGTAAATAGAATGTTCCTTTTCTGAGAGTATCACGAAACAGCAAGGAGAAATGACTTGAATAAATTCAGCGCATCTAGCGTTGCTAATACCTTTCATTCTTTCATTTCGAAGAAATATTTATTAACTTGTCAGAAAATAGCTAAGGTCACCAGCGCATTTCATTTAAAATGAATTATAATTCTGCTCACCTCGATATGGTGCTTGGAGATCCAAGTGAAAATCGTTTCAACGGTGAAATTCAAATTGCTTGGAAAAAACTAAAATAGATATGTAACAAAATTTAGTAAGATGAAAGAATATTTCATTTTGAAAATGAAACTAGTTTATTCACTGGTTTTAGAATATATGTGCCGTCGGAACGGAATTCATTTTGAGAGGGGGGCTGCCCATTGTATTCCCTTCCTTCAACACACTGTTGTAAAGGAAATATACTACAGTTTTACAACTATTTGATTATTAGCCCCCTCCCCCCCCCCGGCTCCGACGCCCTTGAATAATGCGAGGAAAATCATTCGACAAATAATTGTCAATGCCAGGCAACTTCTGATCAGTCATAGCTTCAGATTTCTATGACATAACTATACAGAATGCAATAAAGAAAGGAAGGCGTATCAATAAACTTAGGATAAAATTGCGACCCTTTTCTCTGACACAATCTCGGTACCAAACTTAGGATAACTATTGCACCATTCAGGAATAATTCTGAACAATTTTCGGCGGTACAAAATTTGAAAATGGCTTTGAAAAAAGCAAACATTTACATTTTACAACATATTGACTAAACCTTTTTCGTCTGAAATATGACTCCTCAGTGCATAAAACGTCAGAGCGAGGGTCTAAAATAACACGATGGTAAATGTATACCCAGTTGTGGATAGAAATAGGCCAATCAGAAAAACGCAAGCACAAGACCGGTAAAGTTGACCAATCAGTGCCGCGTGCCTAAAGAAAAACTAGCAATGGAGTCCAAGTGAGAAAACGAACTCATTCAGTCTACACAATGGCGGCTTTTCGTTTGTATGTAGATGAAAAGACGACCTGGCTGTGCCGATAATCTGAAACATGTCGTCATTGTAGAGTTTTGCACAATCTGGGTGGTCTAAAAGATATTGTCCGATGGCAGAATCACTTTTTTTAACGGTTTTTTAGACCTACAAGATCGAGTAAGCTGTTCTAAGGGGCAGTTTTGAGATCATAAACTATATCTCATCTTAATTAGTGAATCACTCTTTATTCATGCATTTATTTTCTTAGCTTACTCTATAACACACCAACAGAAAATTATTTAAGAATTTAAATCTAACAGTACATCGTTCTTTGGTTCCAGTGTGTGCTTAGTCATTTTTCAAAATTTTGTGGAATCTCCCTTCAAATTTTATTGGCATCGAGTCATGATAAAATGATTTACCCTAACAAGCCAATTCATAACTTTTGCGATGCTGTTGTATTTGTGGACCTGAGACTGATCACGTGGAGCAGATGAACCTATGCATAAAACAATTTGCCATAACTCGCTGCTATTTAAGAAGACCTAAGGGACTAGGGACAAATTATTACATAACTGAAATACCAGACATGATCTTACATTCCGCTGTCCTAAAATTTGGTGCAAAACGATTTGTCCTTGTTTTTCAAAACCAACTAGCGTTGCTACTCTGCTGTTTGTGACGATTCCAAATAATGTTTTTGAATCTACGATAAAACGAAAACGCAATGAAAAACAAATATAAGAATCTGAGGCAGGTTTAGAGAGTTTTGAGTCTACGATTAGGATAAATTGGGACTACGGTTGACTGAAAAGCAAGGCAGCTTGTGAACAGGAAATAATCTAAAAAAATGATCTGATGTACTGGATGCACAGAAATGTGAAAAAATTCGAGGCACAAACGCCAACCATCAGAAAATATTCAACGATTTATGTGGTTTTCTCCCTAAACCCAATTAATACCAGTCAGGTCCAAGTACTATATAACAACCATCCAAGCCCGGTTTTCAGACTAACCATGGACAGAAGATGAGAAGTTCAATGGAAAGCATTTGATGGAAAGCATATATTTCTCATGAACTTAAACACAATAAACAGGCCTTGCTCTAAGTAAAATGAAGGTGCTCCATAAAAAGAGCCCCTTAGAAACTCTAGGCGCTCTATTTCGCACCTCTAAGTAAATTTCTTTGAGCGCATCCTTCGAGAGCTTTAGGAGATTGAGAGCTTCATATCAAAAGCTTCGGAAGAATGTTAAATATGAAATTCAACGGTGATACCAGAAAGCACCATAATATGAAATAACAAAACATGCAACAAACACTATGTTAATATAAATATAGAAATATAATAGAACAAAGTCGCAAAATTGTTCAGATTTTTCTAGATATGTAAGTTGCCATCATTTGATTGCTTTTATCAGTGTCAGTATCACTACTGTTATGTTCAGCTTCATTTATTGCTTCATCAAAACGCATGGCTTTAAATCGAGCATTTAACTTTGTTGCCTTTTTTCATGTTATCCATTCTATAAGAAACGCTAGAACATCTACTACTCGCAAAAGCAAATGAAAACAATGCGATAATTTGGACGGAAACGTGATCGCTGATTTGCACAGGGCGATTTTAAGTTATTAAGAAAAACAGAAAATAATATATATATACTTCAAAAGAAGATTAACGCTTGCTCGAAAATCAAATAAATCTGCTGGAGAATACGCTTGGTGGCCTGTGTCCTTGATGGTTATTAGAGGGTTATTAGATTAAAAATGATATCGAAAACCTAACGTTGATTTTGCTGAAGTTTTTCTCAAGGGGTAATCTTACGCAAATCATAATATTGCGGTCTGTTGGGAAGATTGTTTATGCTTGATCAAGTTGATTCAACAAATTCCAAAAATTTATTTTGCTCCGTGTTAATATTGTTTTTACGTTTTGAGGGGCTCTATAAATCGCTCTCCAAGGCTTTTTTTGGGTGCGCTCTAGGCGCGCGCGCTCGATCGAGCGCCTTTCCGGGCAAGGCCTGAATAAAATACACATTTAACATTGCATCTCATTTTGATTTCATTCATTTACAAAATGGATTGTGTAACAGAAAAAGTGTTAGGTCAAAAGTGAAAATATTAAAAATGGATACCTTTACTGACACTTGCAACACACAACTCCAAAAATACATGAAATCGTTTGTTTTTTTGACTATCCATGTTGAAATAGCCAATGATTATTGCCTGTTTAAAGAAAAATATAAAGTATAAATATATTGTAAAAAAAGCTCGTTAACCCCACCAGCATTTATTTTTAAGGACCTTTAAGTCGTTTGTACCAGTGACAAAGGGCCAGCAATGCATGCTTGAAATAATTCACAGGAAAAACAATATATACATTTGCTGCAGGTTTTTTTGATTGCAGAGACTTTTCTTTTTTTCTAGGATAAGTGCTAAATTGTACGTTTTAGGAAGTGTCACCAAAGAAACATTAAAGACAACCTGGTGTTTCCATAGGCGTTTAAGGGATATTTGGGCTGGGAAAGCTGCAGCCCCCAATCAGGGAACTTTATTGCAGTTCTATCTCAACAAAGCAACAATTTTCAGGCAAGACCCATGGTAAGTCTCCCTAAACTTTTGCATCCACTACATCCTTGTTTGCATCAAGATATCACTTAAGGACAAATCTATAATATATGTTGAAATTCATGGATCCCTTTAGACATCAGAAGAACTTACTGAGCACAATAATTGGAGTGGATAAAACTCAATAAAAAGAGGTCTTTCATTTATAACATTAAGCCATCCATGGTCACGCCTAAACCTCCATACTGTGTGAATAGTCACAATTTAGCACATGCTTTATCTTTCCAAAACAAAATATGGCACTACAATTATAAAGGTTTAATTCAAAACTGAGCAATACTTACTTTTATTCTATTTTTTAGCATTTTCCACATTCATGTGGGTTTTTTATAAGACAAATGCCACTTTTCAATATACAATTAAAGATCTTTGCTCATGCAAAGTTTTGAAATCATGATTCATGTTTATCCTGAAATCATGAAAAAAATCCTTTGACATGGCTGAAAGTGAAATATTCTCACCTCATTGGATGATAAAATTTCTTGTAATTTTTGTTCATTTCCAATGTAATGAAATGGCCTTTGAATACTCTGAAGAAAATTCACCTACAATGGGAATGATACAATAAGTTAAAATCCCATACATAGAATAAAACACATCAAGAATCAGACAGATTTTTGGCATACAAATAACAAATAAGGGAATGTTTTGATATGGGAACAGCACTGTGGATTTTGTAGTCATTGTGGGAGAAGGTAAAGAGGAGGGGCAAATAGCCTGTAAGTCTGACATCCTCCTGTTGACATTCAGTCATTTGCTACCTGTTTAAGTGGAAATACTCATTAAAAGATTTCCTTGGAATTCCAAGCCATATAATTAATAACATCCTCATAATATGTAACCTAATACCAAGCATTCAATGAATTTTTTTGGCATATTGAAGTGACATGTGTGGCCAACCTTTTTTTCTCTGTGTGACTACCTTGGCATTATAACACTTACAATTACAGAAAACTGACAATCTTGGTGTAAAAGCCTGACAGCCCGGTCAGAGCAGGTTTTTCAACTTCACACATGGAACATTTGTAAATACTTAATTTACAATAAGATTCATTCTGTTGGGTCAGAAAACACCCCTTTCTCATTTATAATGTATGTCATACGAAAAATTGCCATTACATTTTGAAGATAACATTATCAATTATGCCACCAGTCACATCTAAGATCTAAGATTAATGCAGAAAGGAAAATAAGATACCAGCAAAAACACTTACAATTCTCCATGCGTCAGGAGGCTCCAGAAATTCAACTGGTGGATAATTAGTATGGTATGCAAAGAACTTTGGGAATTCATGAAGTGAGAAATTTTGTTTGCAGCTTCCAACCCAGCAATTGATTGCAATGAAATCAACCTGTATGAAGAGGACAAGAAATAAAGTAAGATTTAGGATATGCAAGCAGTACATTGTAAGTGACAATCTGTGCTTAATGGATTTAGTGGCCAAAAAAGTCAAAGGTCTGTGGACACTGGGCAAACAGGCATGTTTCTAACTAATTACCAAAAATTTTGTTTTACATATTTGCAGTATCATTATTTCTACTCTTAGTGAGCAAAAGTACTGCACAGGTTTGACAAATCAGCAATGGCAACTTCGTTGTTGCAAACAACATGGTGATCAAGATTCAAACCACTTTTGTTAATCAAACAGGCATCTTTTTATAGTTAAAAACCAATTAAACCAAACTTCAAACCATTGGCAACTCTTTTAATTTTAAAATTGAAAAATGTTATTTTTTTTAAAAGTAAACAATATCGACTTCTTATTGGACAGTCTCACAGCTTTGAAACCTTTGTGAGAGTTGCTAAAACTTTATTATCAAAATGTTTAGTAACAGGTTCTGTTAATTGCTACATTATAGGTTCAGAAAGACATTTGCAAGATCACATTTAGTCATTGGAGTGCAGTCCTGGTAATATGAAATTTGGCGGTGTGCTGGTAATCACACGCCTTGAAAAGTTTAGGCGTGCGATGGCGTGCGATGACGTGCGATCAATAAAATAGAGACCTTACAATTTTTATTGAATTAGAATGTGTGTATCACTGCTTGAAAAAGCGTATGAGGTTTTCGTAAAACTAAAAAGGTTTCATGGAATTTTAGAAGAAGTTTCTTGAAAACAAAATAATTTAACAAAAAGGATACAAGTTTTTTAGGCTCTGTTGCCATTACTCTGTTTCCATATGAGAACAGATTCGAGTGAATCTGTTTTAGAATTTGAGTTTCATTAATACGGCCAAAAACGGTGTCATTTGATACCAAATCGAAGTTATTCAAAAATGCTGTTCAAAGTGGAGTCATCAGAAAACGGAATCATTTGAACTATGAGTTGCCAATGAGTTATATTGGGAACAGCGAAGACAGAGGCATTCAAAAACGGAGTCATTCAATCTCAGTTTTAAAAAGAGCTGGAGCTGAGGATATGATAACAGACAAATATGGAGTAATGAAAACACCCACATTATCATTTTGACCAAAACAGAGTGGCCCTGGGCAATGTGTTCAAGAAAATAAGAAAAGAACACAGAGAGAGAACGGAGACATACAATAACGGAGTAACAGAAAAGTGGAGTAATGGAAACCGGGCCTAATGGAAACAAATTAAAGAGTTAAAATGCCTCCGGGAATGCCATCAATATAACCCACACAAAAGAAAATTAAAAGAAACAATAGAGAAAAAGAATAGTAATTCAAAACGTGGAACTGGGCATGCGATAGAAAGCACGCCTCGGGAGTTCTAGGCGTGTGTGGAGGCGTGTGCGTGCGCTCGCACGCCTAATATTACCAGGACTGGGAGTGCCAAATTGGTGTCCTTGTATTTGGTGGAAAGTGACATATTTTTTGGCACTTTATTATGTTGACTCTTTTGCAGCTATTGAGGCACTTAACTGTACCTGTTTATCGCAGGAATTTTGGACTTTTTATTCATTGAGAAGATAAAAAGTTGATTCAAGCAATTTGGAGCATTATTTGTTCCCTTACCAGCATCACAATTGGTTGGAAAAGATGGGCTTGATGATTTGTGACACATTTCATTGATTGAATTCTGATCGAATTTATCACAAAGCAGCTGCTGCCATTAGGCCCATTGCAGCTCCAAAAATTTCAGACCAAAAAGTTTAGCATATTCTCCAATAACAGTAAAGAAAATGAACAGTTCTAGACACCAAAGCATAAAGTAAGTTTCCCCAAGTTAATTTTTATAAGATATCGCAAATTGGTGCAAAGAAAAAGTTTTTGATTGCATGTGTTTCACAAGTACTTTGATCATCATAGCTCAATTTTGGTGTTTTTGCAAATGTTGATATTGTTTAGAAATACCTAAACAAAATTAAGAATATTCTTGCATTTGCTACTTTTAGCATCAAACCTTGATATATTTTCCAATATATTCCAACTAAAAAGTCATCTTATAATTTTTATGAAACTTTCTGTTGCCATTTGGTTTGCTAAATAATTTTACTACAGTGCTGCAATTTCAGTCTCAGCCTGTGCAATACTTTAGCTCACTAACTGTAATATCACCTTTTCCTATGAGGATAATTTTACTGTCATAACGCTGCCTATAAACCACAACAAAGTGCTAATGCTAACACAACATTGCCTTGCTGATAAAACATTGCCTTGCTGATAAAATACATACATTCAAGACTTATAGATAACATTCAAAGATAATTTAACAGATAACTATTATTTCAAATTCAGAAATCATATCCTATGTTAAGCACTAATTTTATTATAAAATGATACTTACAGTCTGACTAAGAAATTTTGCAGCTTGACCCATTTGAGGCACTATTTTTCTGGACTGAGCACACCATGGTGCATAGTATACCACAAACCTCAGATCAGTGGTTTTCAGAATGTTGCCTAATGAATCAAGTGAGCCATCATAAATGTCTTGCACATAACTACCAACTGGAAACATTTGCATCTGATTTATTGGAAAATTCCTTGTTGCTAATGTAACACTGAAATGAAAACAGAGATCAAGAAAATCATGCTTGCCTTCCAACAAAGCTAAGAGCATATTTTGTTTTGTGTAATTTGGTTGTGATTTTAACAGAAAAATAACTGTTCAATTCACATTAGCTCATTGATTACAAAACATTGAGTTGAACTATTTTCAGCCTGTCTTTTTAATAAATGAATGCCCAAAAACACTGGGGACTGCCTTTGTCATTATGCTTTAGATGACGAATCTTCCTGACTTCAGTTTCAATTATCAAACTTCACGATCATATCAAGAAATGGAGATGACTATGAATTCTTAAGCTTTGAGATTCTTGATTCTTGAGCTTTGAGCTTTGAGATTTGAGATCTTTTGTTCACAATGAAGTTAAGATGCATATCAATGTAGAGATAACAGTCAAAGGTGCAACAAATGATGGTCCTATGATGGACTACTAGGTTTGTTATGTATATCATCTGATCAAGTACTGTGTATTGTAAATAAATCTAAAAATGCACAATGCTTCAACATTGCTTGAATCTACTTCATGCTAACGAGCATCAGTTTAGAAACAGATCTATTCACTTTGCCAATAACAAATACCAATAACAATAGCAAATTATCTTCTTGGTGCACACAAAACTATAAAACTGTGCTATCTCCTTGTGCAAACTAGTTGTAGAATTACTTTCTTGCATGGTATTAACCAAAACTTACAGGAAATTTACACAGACAATGAAAGATAATGCATAAACAATTTGCACGAAAAATATTTCTTTTCAAAAGCAAAGATGCCTGTCAAAAATGCCAAAAAATAAGCAAGCCACTTTATCACACAAAGCAGGCTTATTTGTACAGAAACAGAGAAAACCTCATGTTGTCAAAACTGTAGGCTGCACTAAGAAATGGGCTGGCAATACCTGGCAAGCTAAGAGAAAGGTTTCTGATATGGCACTCAATCTAAGTACACCAAAGTCCCTTTGTTAAGTACACCAAAGTACTGGAAATTACAAAGTACACCAAAGTACATTCATCCAGTACTGCCCAGGGTGGAATCCATGTAACTTATGCCAGAGATATCTGGTATGGACTTCATAAATTCCTTGGTGTCCTATCTTAAAATGAAGAAAAAATACTGTGTTGGCCTAAAGGTGGGTGGGTTTTCTGCCTGTGCTTGGACCAGCACATGAATTATCCCTGACTTTTAAATAACCATCACTGATAAATATGATTAATAGTTTCTGTTATGCATTGTATCATGCAGCTTTTGGTGTAACAGACAGCTTTTGGCATTAGCATTAAGATGCAGAACCTTTAGCACATCTTCATAATTTACTAGCCAATATCCTGCATGAGGTTTACATGGCTTATACCCAGGAGCACTACAGTTTGAGGCTCATCATGATGTAAAGTTGTTTCTATTTCAGTAAAAATACAACAGTAATCTTCATTTGCAGTACTCCAGATGTAATACTGCATGACTATTTAACCCAAGCAGCAATTTTAACAGTACAAAACAATAAAAAGCAAATCAAGGTATTAAAAATCTGCCATTCAAAGACAATTTGGTGATGTTAGCTAAAAACAAAAAGCCCTCCAGAGGCCACGCCCCTACACTATCCTATCACAAACTGGTTTGCTTTGCTCACAATTTTTCTTTACTAGATTCATATTATTTTGCGTGCCAGCCTCCACTACTGCAAAATATTGTATAATATTCAAGAGATCATGAACAATTGGTAGATATTCTTACAAAATTTCAGCTTTGAAATATAAGGTATTCATTATGGCAAAAGCATTGTACTATTTGTATTTTCCTTGCTAGTGAATAGGCAGTGGTCTGAGATACTAACACCTGTGCACCAAAAGTAAATAATGGATCATCACACTTTCAGTTACAAATTATTAGTTAGAAATATTTTACCGAGAGCAGGTCCACCAAAACATCACAGTGCAAAAACCAAAAATAAATCCAAATACACACGGATGTCTCATGATGCAAACAATAAATCTGGGCACCACTCTCTCACAAGGGTCCAACATTTCTCCTCTAACTTCCAGGCTACATCGCGACTTAGCATCAATGTCGTGTTGCTTCCAAGGTGAAGTCATTATGGCCCCGCCTCCTTCTCAGGTTGAAATCGAGGGTGTGGAAACAGACCTTCCAATTCACATGAATATTGCTATCATGGCTACACTAAATGTTGTTAGATTGACAAGTCGATTACTCTTACCAAGCAAACATGGATGCAGGTTAGTTTTATACAGCTTCTATTTTTCCACATTTTCTCCTTTTTTAAATCGAAAATGATACAAATCTGTGTTTAGATCCTGATTCCTGACGCCGCAAAAATTTGTCCAAAGCAGTTCCAGTAAATTGGAGCACTATGGAATTAGGGGTGTAGGTCACAGCTGGTTTAAATCGTACTTAGATAATAGAACTCAAATTGTTACTGTGAATGGTGAGAACTCTACAGAATTGAAAATTAATTGTGGTGTCCCTCAAGGAAGCATATTAGGCCCCCTCCTCTTCTTGCTTTACATTAATGATATTTACAACTCCTCCGAAGTCCTTGATTTTCGTCTCTTTGCTGATGACACAAATATTTTATTTGCTGATAAAAGCCTAGATACATTTGAACAAACAGTCAATTATGAAATGAAAAATGTTTCTGAATGGCTTCTAGCTAATAAGTTATCACTCAATGTAGCTAAATCAAATTTTCTCATAATAAGACCTCGTAAAAATAATAGAATTGTAAATCTAAAAATAAATGACGAAAATCTAAAACAAGAAACCTCCTCAAAATACCTTGGTGTATTAATTGATGACAAACTTAACTGGAAACACCACATAAACCAATTAAATACCAAAATATCTAAAAGTATTGGTATCCTTTATAAATTAAGACATTTTATACCAAAAAGCACCCTTGTAACACTATACAACTCTTTTATTCAATCTCATGCTCTTTATGGACTTCTTAACTGGGGCTGTGCTAATAAGACTACTCTCGAACCATTGAAAATAACCCTACGTAAACCTGTCAGAGTAATAGATTTTGCTTCTTACACAGCTCACACAGAGCCAATCTTTAAACGTTTCAAGTTATTAAACCTAGAAATTCTATACAAGCTCGAAACAGCGAAATTTATGTTTCAAATCAACAGGAAAATCATAGTTTCAAAAAAAACTTTCTGACATTTGATGGGGTTAAGCATTGGAACTCCTTGCCAATTGAACTAAAGAATATCCGCAACAAAAATGCCTTTAAAAAGATGATGAAACTATACCTTTTACAGAACTCCTAAGCCATAAGAATTTGTTCTACTTTTTTAAACATATCCCTAACCAGTGAAATTTACCAGCCTACCGGTGTGGATTTCATAATTTGCATTCCTTGGCGTACTGGTGTATAATGAAGGAAAATAATGTGGGTGGGTTTGCTGCCTATGTTTGGGCCACTGTATAACTTATAGACAACCAGTGGTTATGAAAATGATGATAAATAGTTTCTATCATACAATTATGAAGTATTTGTTTGCATGATGAGGCAAATGTACAATATTATCAAGTGTTAGCACAGAAAAAAATGTCATATTTAGTTTCCACCTTAAATACTGTTGCTTACAGCTAATTGTGTCAAAGAGATTCCATTTCCAAAAATAATAAATACTGAGAGAAGAAGATAATTTTGAAAATATGTGGCTAAAATAATGACTTTAATTGTATTAATTAATGAAAGACTTTGAGTTTTTAGACAAAGTCTAATTTATAAAATGTTTTTTATTTCAGGTGTTCAAGTTCAATAGCAGCTCAAGCAAAAGATGTTCCCAAGGTTCAAGCAAAAAGAAAGCAAAAAGTGTAAGAAAATGTCTTGTAGAAAGTTATAATACTTACAAATAAAAATATATTCTTTGAAAACATGAAGACACCAACCTTGTGATCTGTCACATGGATCATTTCTCCAGATTGTCTAAATGCCTTCTACTGAGCACAATCTGCTTCCAGGGAAACTTGATTTTGTGCCCTATGATAACATAAAGCATACTTATTGATGATTGTGTTTTAACATTTTTTAGCCCCAAGTTGAAGGCTTAAAGTAAAGGCTTGATCAGATAATTTCTTCTTTAATATTTTGCAGTACAGTCTGACATGTTGCTAGAATGTTCATTAGCATTTTTCTTGAAGGAACTGTTTTTCATTGTGTTTGTTGACGGTGGTCATTTGAGTGAATATGATGACATACTGTAGGCTTGTTTGCTTCAGAATATGATCTATCGTGCGAGGATTGCTAGAGGCGCTGACTACAGACCAAAGGGTCTGTGGTTCGAGTCCCTGGCATGATCAAACTTTCACCCAGAGTGGGGAGAGTCACCAGCTCTCTGTAATTCCAGGCATAGGAATCATGAGGTGTGGTCACATCGAGAGGAAGGACCAGGACACTGCTCAATAAGCATAAGCTTGTCAGTGTCCTAAAAACTACATTGGGATGCTAGGTAGAAACAAATACAAACAAATACAAAATACCTTACCTGCACATGGTTGTTGAAACCTTTTTAATATCCATGTTTATCATAAATATAAAGAAATATACATTATTTGTGTTGATGTTAAAAGGTTTATAGATGGTTTTCTTCTGGCTTGAAGTATTTTTAACAAAAAATACTGAGGGTTACCTTGTAGTGCTCAAATGTTTATTACAAGTACTGTGATGTGGTGTCTAATAAGCCTGACTGGATCTGTGATGGAGCGGTAGATGGCATCTATGATGTTTACTTTTCTCCAAAGTATGAGAAAGACTCATTGAACTTCTCTTTTGACTGAGTCACAAACTCTGCAATTATCTGAAAGCATGACACTGCTCTTTTTATTTTTTTGGCTGCAGGTGCTGCATTTTTATGGTTTGGGGCCCTTTTTCATGTAAGTTGAACCCATAAGACAGGTGTCAAAATCCATTGGACTGCGCTTGTTGGTCTTGTTTCTAGGGAAGTGTAGCACTATTATTTTCTCATCAAAATAATAAATAGCTTCTGACTAGGATGCAGTCAGTCTGGGCTGTTTTCCAACTGGAGGTGCTTGCACGTTAACCAGTTGAACCATCAAAAGGTGGTGTTGCTGGATGATGGCTGGGTAGTTTGATAGCAAATGTCATTAGAGTTGTGCTTTCAAAGTTGAAGATAAATCAGCAAATCTACTTTGAATTGTTATTTAGTATTTCTAAGATTTCTTTGCTGATTCTTAAAGGAGAACTGACACGCAAAAATAAGTTTGGCTAAAACGGTAGTTTGTGACAAGCAAATTCCAGGATCGAAAAATTTTTTTAAATCACAGTTACCGTTTTTGAAATACAGGCGTTTTAAGTTGAGAAACGACAATTGTTCCGACAACTTGAGACTCGAGGCGAAAATCGTCACGAGTGGGCGATCATCTTTGACGTCACAAGTGACATGTTCTCAGCAAGTATTGTTTTTCTCAATAGAAACCTTTAACAAAATGCTGCAGACAAATGTTTATTTTGTGCATGTGAAAGGAGCTAATTTTGCATTTTTGACACATAATTGACTTTTTCAATGGTTTGGGGCTCTGAATCGGAGTTTTATTACACTGATTTCGAGACAAATGGAGAGTTTAAGCCGTCTGAGTTTTTGCTACCAACCAGCGCTGCCGCTTGGGCAGACAGTCGTCCCATGGCTCAATAGTGACGATGTTATGAACAAAGAACCGACTGGAAGTACAAACTGATATGGAAATTCTGTTAAAACAATGCTATTGCTACAATCTAAATGAGATCAGATATCGTGAAACTAGAATTTCATTTCAGATTGAGGCTTCTTTGTCCAGACTGCTTTGTCTGTATGGCCTAATTCACTGAAATGCCTATGATGCCCTAAACGGAACTGCAAGTTATTCATTATTAGTGTAGCATTCTATGATTGTTTTTCAATGTTTCAAACGAGTTAACTGAATAGTGATATTAAATAGTAAAGGCGGGTTAAAAGTCGACTTGTGCGGATTATATGCCATTTTCACCGGACGTGAAGGTTTCAGGAACTGATAAGTTACCCCCCATGTTGCGGTTTTATTTGTAATTGTAAAAATAAAAACTTTGAAGAAACGGTATCAGTTTTCAAACAAAGTTGACTCTTTTTTTCACAAGCTTTGAGGTTCTTTCAATGTTTCGTAGCATACTGCTTCGAAGATATCATGGCATGAAAATAAATTTTATGTGGATATTAGCGTCTTATCAGACATGTAGCTAGGATTTTCTAGCTTCTTTATACTTATAAAAGAAATGCCTGACAATTTTTTGTCTTTTTATCGCACACTATTTTCAATAAAACTAAAGGGACCATGTCAAGGTTTGTAAACAAACCAAATACACAGTTTTGCTAATTGGAATAATGGCAGATGGTGCTCTGGTACTTCAATATGTTTGATAAATTATATTTTATGAGTTTATTTATCAAACATGGAAAGGACAATTACTATATTTCAACATTTGTATATTGATTTTCCTATTGAACCCTGGTTGTTTCACCCAAACAGCCTTCCCTCACCTGGCGTGTTGCCATGCAGGATGCCCCTTGCGACACAGCCCCTTTAATTTATCTGTTTCTCCTGATGATTTTTTTAGATTTATAAAAAATTGTGAAAACATATTCTAAAAACTCTCTTGAAACTTAAAAAAATTAACAACACCTTGATAAGCCATTTGGTATTCTCTTGATGATCTTTTTAAATTCATGAAAAGATGGCAAAAATTTACCTTTAAAAGTCTCTTGAAACTTAATCATTGATTTAAGGATTTTTGTTGCAGAGTAATTGTAACAGAAGAAGAAGCAGCCAAATTAAAAAAGCCTGCAAATTCACATTTTGTCAATCTCTCTGAGTTTGATGATGACCTTGTGAGGTAAATACACAAAAATCGAGATTTGATGAAAATTGTATTCTGCTTGTAATGTAAGTAAACACTTGTCCAAGATTGGTGTATTATAAAGTTTATTGAGCATACACAAAAATCCTTGTTATAATGTCTTAATCTTGCTTTCTGAAAAGGTATAAATTTTCTAGTGATTAAAAGTGTCTTCAAGTTCTCTCAAGAACTTTTTTAGAAAGGTCTTTT